CTCTCTGGTCTCTCTCTCTGGTCTCTCTCTCTGGTCTCTCTCTCTGGTCTCTCTCTCTGGTCTCTCTCTCTCTGGTCTCTCTCTCTCTGGTCTCTCTCTCTCTCTGGTCTCTCTCTCTCTCTGGTCTCTCTCTCTGGTCTCTCTCTCTCTGGTCTCTCTCTCTGGTCTCTTTCTCTGGTCTCTCTCTCTGGTCTCTCTCTCTGGTCTCTCTCTCTGGTCTCTCTCTCTCTGGTCTCTCTCTCTCTCTGGTCTCTCTCTCTCTCTGGTCTCTCTCTCTCTCTGGTCTCTCTCTCTGGTCTCTCTCTCTCTGGTCTCTCTCTCTCTGGTCTCTCTCTCTCTGGTCTCTCTCTCTCTGGTCTCTCTCTCTCTGGTCTCTCTCTCTCTGGTCTCTCTCTCTGGTCTCTCTCTCTGGTCTCTCTCTCTCTCTGGTCTCTCTCTCTGGTCTCTCTCTCTGGTCTCTCTCTCTGGTCTCTCTCTCTCTGGTCTCTCTCTCTCTGGTCTCTCTCTCTCTCTGGTCTCTCTCTCTGGTCTCTCTCTCTCTGGTCTCTCTCTCTCTGCTCTCTCTCTCTCTCTGGTCTCTCTCTCTCTGGTCTCTCTCTCTCTGGTCTCTCTCTCTGGTCTCTCTCTCTGGTCTCTCTCTCTCTCTGGTCTCTCTCTCTGGTCTCTCTCTGGTCTCTCTCTGGTCTCTCTCTGGTCTCTCTCTCTGGTCTCTCTGGTCTCTCTGGTCTCTCTCTCTCTGGTCTCTCTCTCTCTGGTCTCTCTCTCTCTGGTCTCTCTCTCTCTGGTCTCTCTGGTCTCTCTCTCTGGTCTCTCTGGTCTCTCTCTCTGGTCTCTCTCTCTCTGGTCTCTCTCTCTGGTCTTTCTCTCTGGTCTCTCTCTCTGGTCTCTCTCTCTGGTCTCTCTCTCTGGTCTCTCTCTCTGGTCTCTCTATCTCTGGTCTCTCTCTCTGGTCTCTCTCTCTCTGGTCTCTCTCTCTGGTCTCTCTCTGGTCTCTCTCTCTGGTCTCTCTCTCTCTGGTCTCTCTCTCTCTGGTCTCTCTCTCTGGTCTCTCTCTCTGGTCTCTCTCTCTGGTCTCTCTCTCTGGTCTCTCTCTCTGGTCTCTCTCTCTGGTCTCTCTCTCTGGTCTCTCTCTGGTCTAGTTTGTTATTGCTATGAAAACACAGTGAGTTTTATGGTTGTGCGGCTCCACACCTTCACTAAGAATTGAGATCAACCTTCAGATCTTTACTGTACCATGGAAGTGCGATAACGCCTGATAAACCTTTACAGCCTTGGTGGAAGTGACAGGAGTGACCTGCTTTACTCAGCTCTACTCTTCTCTACTCTGCATGGCCCAGCTTGACTTCGTTAGAACCAGGGCCAAGCAGGTACTAAAAAGTGCCTGGTACTGATTAAACTGACGGAAAGGGTAGGGTAGAGCAAACTAGGGTTGGGTAGTGTAGGGTAGAGTAAAGTAGAGTGGGATAGGGTAAAGTAGAGTAGACTAGTAGGGTATGATAGGGTAGGGTAGAGTAGAGTAGGGTAGGGTAGGGTAGACTATAGGGAAGGTTAGAGTTGAGTAGGGTAGGGAAGACTAGGGAAGGGGAGAGTAGAGTAGACTAGGGTAGAGTAGAGTAGAGTAGAGTAGAGTAGAGTAGAGTAGAGTAGAGTAGAGTAGGGTATGGTATGGTATGGTATGGTATGGTATGGTATGGTAGGGTAGGGTAGGGTAGGGTAGACTAGGGTAGAGTAGAGTAGAGTAGAGTAGGGTAGGGTAGGGTAGGGTAGAGTAGACTAGGGTAGGGAAGGGGAGAGTAGACAAGGGTAAGGAAGGGGAGAGTAGAGTAGACTAGGGTAGGGTAGGGTAGACTAGGGTAGGGTAGGGTAGAGTAGAGTAGGGTAGGGTAGACTAGGGAAGGGGAGAGTAGAGTAGACTAGGGTAGGGTATAGTAGAGTAGAGTAGTAGGGTAGAGTAGAGTAGGGTAGGGTAGAGTGGAGTAGGGTAGACTATAGGGAAGGTAAGAGTAGTGTAAACTAGGGTAGGGTAGAGTAGAGTAGACTAGGGAAGGAGAGAGTAGAGTTGACCAGAGTAGGGTAGGGTAGAGTAGAGTAGGGTAGACTATAGGGAAGGTAAGAGTAGAGTTGACTAGGATAGGATCGGGTAGAGAAGGGGTAGGGTAGTAGAGTAGAATAGGGTAGGGTAGGGCTGGTGGAAACAGGTCTTTTATGTAATTTCAAAAGCTTTTTTTCTGACTGTTCCCACTTGTAATGAGAGTCCATGGGCCAGAGTCCAGAGTACAGAATCTCAGCGTCACAAAAAAAACCTTTTCCCCCTGGTGCAGCTTCCCATTTCAGACCCTGTACTTTTGTTTTCTGGTCAAAAACGTTGGAACCTGGTTCTGAAATCCAGCCCCGACTCGGCCCCAGTTCAGACCAGGAGCAGAAATAAGAACCAGCTCTGGAGAAATACTAAACACAAATATTGTCTTCAATCTTTATCACTGTTTCAATATTTTCCACAGTTTATGTCATTGAGAAGGTGAAATAAAGTTGGTCTTAGCTTAAATACAGTAAAAACAGTTAATGAGAAGCTAATGAATGCTAACGACTGCCAGTAAACAGTTTGTTGCTATGGTAACAGGCACTGGCCATGCTATAGTGGAAAACCCAAACCGGACTAAACTGGACTGAACCAGCCCAGAGCCAGCATAAAACCAGCACCTTGGTCTAGAACGAGTATTTTGGGTCTGGATATTGTTTTGTGCTACAAAGATCTGTGGTAATTAGATAGCTATAAAGTGATCTGGCCTTAGGACAACAACCCGATTGTGTATCTGCTATGATTGTGTGTCCGTGTTCTGTTCTTTCGAGGTCTTGTTATGTTCTGATTGTTCTCTTGATGTGACACGAATGCTTATCCATGTATGACGTATGTGTGACGTAAACGTTGACTATATAGACCATATCCTAAATATGTTCTGTCTGAAAAAACTGACCAAACTGAATCAACAGTCATTTTATGAATAAACAACTACACAATGATGCACAGGATCCCGTTTGGTCTGAGTCTGATTTTCGACAGATCTTAAAAATAGATTCAGGTTTTTATAGAATCCCAGAGGTGAGAATGAATGAGATTTACTTCCGGATTCATGAGGCACTGTGTGTGGGACGGCCCATACCACAGCCCTGAGTCAACCCCGTCACATGACCTGCAGACGGGCGCTGCCTCGGCAACCACACACAAACACACACACACTGTACATACATATAAACACACGTACACTGCGCTACACACACACACACACAATCTGCAAAGGGGGAATTCCTCTGTGTGACTATGAGACCAAATTTGCCTTTATCCAAATCAAACGTGTGTGTGTGTGTGTGTGCGTGCGTGTGTGTGTGTTTTATGAGTCAGCGTGATAATCACACACAACAATGTGCTGGAACAAGAGCTACAGTTCCAAAGGAGAGCGCTTTGTGTAAAAACGCTCTTACTTCTCCCCATCATTCTAACTAAAAGCTCTTTTTTCAAACTCATAACACTTTAGGCTTTTTCCACCTGGGACAGTCACAGTACAATGTACCCAGAACCAGAAGGAGATCAGACAGAGACCAGCGAGAGAGACCAGAGGCAGACCAGAGAGAGACCAGAGAGACCAGAGAGACCAGAGGGAGACCAGAGAGAGACCAGAGAGACCAGAGAGAGACCAGAGAGACCAGAGGGAGACCAGAGAGACCAGAGAGACCAGAGGGAGACCAGAGAGAGACCAGAGAGACCAGAGAGAGACCAGAGAGACCAGAGGGAGACCAGAGAGACCAGAGAGACCAGAGGGAGACCAGAGAGAGACCAGAGAGACCAGAGGGAGACCAGAGAGACCAGAGAGAGACCAGAGAGACCAGAGGGAGACCAGAGAGACCAGAGAGAGACCAGAGAGACCAGAGAGAGACCAGAGAGACCAGAGGGAGACCAGAGGGAGACCAGAGGGAGACCAGAGGGAGACCAGAGGGAGACCAGAGGGAGACCAGAGAGAGACCAGCGAGAGAGACTAGACAGACTAGAGAAAGACCAGAGAGAGACCCCAGGAATTTACATTATTCTTTTTTCATCAAATAAGACACTTTCAAAACATATTTTTTACATTGACAAATTTACAAAAGAGAGAGCAGCGTGTGTAACTTAAACAAATATTTGTTCTTTTGTGTTTGGAATGCAGCGGCTACAGGGTTAGCTTCTGTTGTGGAGCCATGCACACTCCTGAGCTAACGCTAACACCGCAGGACAGACTCCGACATGTCTCAGAGCCTCGTGCTGAGACAGGCCCAGAGGCGAGACCAGAACTGGGACCAGAGGTGGCATCAGAGCTAAGACCTGTCTCGAGGCGTTTATGCTGCTTCGATTCAGATTCAAATGACATTTTTTGGATAAGAATACATGTGCACAAGCTGATAAGTACAAGGAACAATTCAGTGAAGCCAATCACCAAAGCCATTTGCAAGATCACTCAACGCTGCAGCTCTGTGATAGGGATCATTAAAGTGTGTGTTCATAGACAGCCCCTCCCCTCCTCTCCTCATACCCGAGACCCGCCCCTCCCCACCTGACACTCAAATACCTCTTCTTTCATCACATTCAAAGTTTACATTAGCCAGGTTTGAGGATGATGACACGCAATGGGAGACATGAGGGAACTCCTTTTGAATGGGTGTGTTTCAAGACCAGGATCTAGACTAGAGTTTGAGTTGTCAATTAAAAGCCCTGTTTCCACCAGCCCTACTCTACTCTACTCTAAGGAGCGCTTTCACTTGCCCTGTTTAACCATTACCAGGTACTTTTTAGTACCTGCTTGGCCCTAGTTCAATCCACCTGTATGCTATCTATCTGTGTACTTGTGTGTATAAGTGTGTACATGTGTATGTGTGTATAAGTGTGTACATGTGTACATTCATGTATATGTGTGTGTACCTGTGTGTATATGTGTGTTTATGTATGTATGTATGTATACGTGTATCTGTACCTGGCCTTCAGCTCGTTGTACTCCGCCCGCAGCTTCCCCAGTTCCAGCTGCATGCGAGCGCGCTCCTTGGCGACCTGGTCGAGGGTCTGGCGTGCGTCGGCGAGCTCGTTCTCGTAGGCCGCCTTGATGCCCGACAGGTCTCGTGTGACGCTGGACTCGGACTCGGAGACGCGCAGGCGCAGGCTGCTGTTCTCCGCCTCCAGGGAGCGCACTTTGTCGATGTACACGGCCAGACGGTCGTTCAGGTTACACAGCTCCTCCTTCTCCTGCAGCCGGCTGATACGCGCCGGCGACACGGCCCGCATGCTCACTCGCTTAGTGTTTGGGGTTTCCATGGTGATGATCTGAGGAGGGAGGAACAAAGTGTTAGTGGACCAGTATGGGTGGTCTAATCAAACTAACGCGGGGCACTTAGAGATTAGAGCCCAGTGTGTTAGAACCGTGCACATCTGTGGCCCGTTCACCTCCGAGATAAACATTGGTTAAAGCAACTATGTGTAACTTTCTCCAATTGGAACATCAGCTCCTTGTTTCCATGGTACAGATGGCGTCAGATGCGTACCACAGGTATATAGAGCTCTGGCCACGCCCCCTTGTACCAGAACACAGTTCTAAACACAGTCCACACTGCTGCGCCGCCCCTATTTCACGCAGACTACATTTTAATGCACAAAGGTTTCCTCTGTTTTTGAGAAGTAATAACATTCTGAATAAAAGACCAAACATTGACAATCTCCCACTCGTCTCTGGAGTACCAAACTTTTATTAGATAGTTTTTTTTAAGTCAAAAGGGAATGAAGGTGGTTTTCTCTTTTTCACTTTTCTGTCTGAAAAAGCTGATCTAAAGATATGACAGAGCCCAAAAATACACGGGTAAAAAACACTGTATTTAAATTTTTTTGTTGCTCCGTTTCAAAGTAAGGCACCCCAGATTGAATACAAAGATACAAGCTATTTGAGTTACATGCTGCCAAAGCTGACACACCCACGTGAACAAACCAGTCTCTCTGCCAGAGCCAAACACTAAATACACACACACACACACACACACAGATACACGCACACACCTGGCTTGTGAAGTCTTGTCTCGCTATAAGAATCCTATCTTGTCCCTGGTCTCTCTCTGGTCCCTCTCTGGTCTCCCTCTGGTCCCTCTGAAGTCCCTGGTCTCTGTAGACTCTGGATCAGCCTGTGTGGATCTGGACTGAGCGGCAGTCCCACTCCTGTCTGCACATGGATCCAGAGGGGCGGGGCACTGGGGGGAGGAGTTAGGAGCGAGGGGGAGGGACTTGGGTCGCGTCCGAAAACTTCCTCCCCAGCAAGAGGACAGGCGAAAAGGAGCATTAGCAATCTTCGTAAAACAATATTATAATTTTATTAAAAAATGTTCCTAACATATCGCGTTATCTCGGTATTTTCCGCTTTCCATCACGTTCCAACACTTTTCCTCATCACAAACAAACCTGCAGTTGTGTTTAGCTACATCCATGCTGATATCAGGAATGCCCGATCCATCTGCCTCAAAGCTTTGTTTTAAAAACTGTTACACTATGGTGAAACTTCCATCTGTCTTCGGGGTCTACGGCATAGATCCATGGACTATGGTCTGCTATGCTCGTGCAAGGAGCGCCCTCTGCTGGCCAAAGAACGTCAGAGACTGCTGGGACCCATGCAGGGGATTGGGGCTGTGGAAAAAAAGACTCAAATGGTTCGAACTGAGACTCAGACTGGACACAAGATGCAAATGAGAAAAAAAGAGACATGAAAGAGATATTTGTAGTTTTCACTGGAAAAGGTTGATAGCAATCATAACATGATCGTTTGAAAAAGTACATAATTTGGACACTGGTCGCGTCAATGTTGTTTTTACATATGTATTACGAAGCAAAGAAAGGTTATAACTGCTGTTGGCTTTTTTGAATAAAGAAAAATATGTTTTTGTCTTGGTGCGATTGCATCTAACGCATGAAAACATGCTCATGTCATCATTTACAGAAGAGGGGTAACTTTGAAAACGAACTGAAATAATACTTAATAAAACACACACAAACATTTCAATAAAAACTTAACATGGGTAAAAAGGCATTAGAGGCAGGAGGTGCACATGAGCAGGAGGTGTCCAGAGCCCTGTCTCCCACAGAACTAGCCGGGTAATTTGGCTGCTGATATAGTGAAGCCCTGTTTCCACCAGCCCTACTCGGCTCTACTCTACCACGATTGTGTTTCCATGGACCCTGTTTTACCGGTACCAGGTATTTTTTTACAGAGTGTATAATGGAGACGCAGCCAGGTAGACTAGGGACAAGTAAGGGTGGTGGAACAGGGCTTTTGTATTTGTAGACTGGAGGGATCTTGGTGTGGGAGGTCTTTCATATGAAGAGATTTTAAATTCAGTGCAGAAGTTCACGGGGGAATGCTTTGGAGTTTACGGGGAATAGTTATTGTCAGGACTGTTCTGAATATAGTCCTGTTTCCACCAGCCCTGAAGAGTAGATAGGACCAAGACGGGCTGGTGGAAACTAGTTTCTGCCAGGGATCGCAACAATACCTTAATAGAAATTAGGACACACAACAATAGTTAAAAGATCAATCTAATAAAAATCCCATCTAATATATTAACTAATTAAAGACAACAACCTGCAATTACTCTCAGAGACATGGCTCCAACAAAATGACTGTGTCAGATTGAATTGCACTCCTGTTAACGAACTACAGGTCGTGGAGGCGGCGTCGCAAATTCAAGGCTGTGAGCCAAGTGAAGTGTTTTCTGTGGTATTTTTATTTAATTAATTGTTTATACAAAAACAGAACAATCTTGATCCCCATTTGATAACACATTACACACCAACGTCTTTCTTTTTATCTAAAATCCTTGAAAAGCTTATTACCAAACAACTATGCCGCCACCTACAGGAAAATAATACAGTTGAAATCATTCAATCTAGATCCAGAGCTCTTCATAGCACTGAAACAGCACTAGTCAAAGTCACAAATGACTCACAAGCCGCTGATGGACAAGTGTCAGTGTTGGTTGGGACCCCTGAACCTGGCCTCTTTCATCTGCACCTGTGGACTGGTCTCTCCCGGCCGGATTTGATTGAGGCTGTAAATCCAGTTCGTTGTGCAGCCTGAGCCTGGATCCACAACCTGAATCCGTCCCTAGGTTTCTCACTTTTTTCCCACTGGGTTTTCCCCCCGTAGTTGCTCCTTGCCAGTGCAGGAGGGTCTGAGGACAGGGATGATCCAGGACATTTAAGGACATGTATTAACACTTGGACCAAAGGCTCTTGTGTGTTTGTTATTGCATTTCCTGTGTTCTCTGATTCTCTGATCTGATCTTCATATCCTCATCGATGACTGCGGTTGTGATTTTAGGCTATACAGAAATACGTTGAATTGAATTGATAGTTTAACATGGACGCGACAAAGGCATGTTCCAGATTCTCAGCATCAGAGAGGAAAGAGAAGTCTAATAAAGTAATCAGATTACTATCACACTGTTGTTGCCAGAATCTTCCTTCTGCGACACATGTAGCTACTATGCACTATATACAGATACAGTCCACCTGCTGGGAGTTTTGGCGATATATTGGTGAAATGATATTCTTCTCAAGTGTACAACTGTTTGCAGTGCATGAGGTTTGATGTGGAAAACATACTCCTTTGTCTTTTTACTCTACATGTTAGACACCCACATCCAGACCTTTTTCTACGCAAGACATTATTTTTTATTTATCAATTAACCAGGAAATCTATCTGGTCACTGGTCTTTCATAAGAATAACAACATGACACCTCTTGTGAATCAAATCATGATCTGGAAAAACATTAGACATTTTCTTTTACAATATTTCTCTCCACAAAGACGAAATACTGACATCCAGTTCTGCTTCACGAGCACAACCTGTAAAGGCTTTGAGCCAAGCACTAAAGGTGGAATGTTTGATATATGATTATTTACTTCTGGTTCGGCTCATTTGGATGAAAGCTTCAAAACTGATGTCCTGGTAATTAAAGCTAAAACAGAAGAGAATTGTGTGAGTGTCTGAATATTTATGGATCAGAGAAAAGTCCTCGGATGTGTCTGTGTCTCATGGAACTTTGAAGCAGCTCACATTTCTCATCAGATCGAGGCCTCAAACTCAAAACCCGAGGTTGAACACAGATTTAAGACAGCGATATTCTATCCAGATATTGTAATATATCCTTGGATGTAAAACATTGTCATTATGTGTGTGCAGGTTATTGGAGTTGTAGTTTCCTTCAATGGCTCATCCAAAAACACATTTACAACACACACATGAACATGAAAGTGCCACATGAACCAACTTGGACTCTGAGGAGCACAGGGACCGGCCTACAGTGAGTGCACAGAGTCAGGACTAAACATGGGGAGGCAGATTTATGCAGCTAAGAATCTGGAACAGTCTTCCTGAAAATTTGGGTCAGGTTTCGACTCTTGGCAATCTCAAAACCCGGGTAAAAATCTGTTCAGCTGTGCTTACCACTGAAGGATTGTATCTTCACACGTTTTAATGTAGTGGTTATTTATCTCAATGTGTGTGTCCTTTGTTGTTTTGTTAAGCACTTGTGCATGGACTCAGCTCCAGGAATAAACGTTCCTTGCCCACTATTACCAGGGACCAACCAGAGAGATCACCAGCGGCGCCTTGCAATTTACAGAGGCCGTGTTGTTGTTTTGAGATTGTGAGACATAAAAACTGAGGTGATGATACACCTTGCAAGAAATGTTGAAGTGAGTGTAAACATTGCTGATAATATAATGGAGTAGAAGTAGTGCACAATTTCCTCCTTTTTTCTCATTTTCTTTTTCTCCCTTCCCCCCTCCCTCTCTTTTTCTTCTCCCCCCATCCATTGGGGTCTACCCGCACAGGATCGAACCCTGCCAACAACGAAACATGACCTAACGATTCACAAAGGTCATATTTTGGGGGGATACTTTCTCATCCTGAACTTTTTTTTCTGTTGAAATCCACTGGATTTTTAGAAACCCCTGGATTTTTGGTTTTCACCCAGGCTGCTATAGGCTCATCTCTCATCAGATCTGGGCCTCAAACTCAAAACAGAGGATAGAGTGTCATAGACTGTATATTAGGAGTAGACTGACCGAGTGTGACATCACCGTTGTTAGCCTTAATGCGGATGAAGCCGATTTGAACATAAGCTAGCAGGAGGTGATTTCCTTATATGGGTATTTGTTCCGACGGTAGCTCTGCGCAGTAACAGGTGCAGATGTTGCTAAGGTAACCTGGAGTTTCCCCTGAAAATGAAGCCATCTGATTGGTCAATCCTTTTGTGGCTCATACCTGTATATTTTCTTTTGTCTTTGATTTAAGACAAAAGAAAATATACACACCAGGATCCCAGAGAGCCCAAAATGGTGAGTATGAAACTAATGGTTACTGAGTAAAAGAGTTTACTTTCAATAGGAGTCAATAGGACACCGAGTGAGTTGGAGCAAAACCTTGTCCATGAGCACTTCCCTATTGAGTAGCAGGTTAGCACATAGTCTATGGATTCTTATGTAAAACCACAACCTTTGTAGAAGTTAAAGAAAGAGCATCACACTTGGATTCTTGTTTTGTGGCTTTGATGGCAGCTACAGGACCGATGTCACAGCTGCTCGCGTCCTGAAAAATCTGTCTTTTCACAAATTAATCATCACTAAGTAAGTCTTCTTTATTTATATTCCACCTTTCACTGACCATTGTTGTGGGCATTTTTCCTTTCACTCCACAGGAACAGTGTCATTAGGCATGCCAGACCTATTGTACAGTGGCCGGGGAAACCGCAGCACCTGTAGGAATCCTACACAGACACGGGAGACCATTCAAACTCCACATAGAAATGCCTGGAGGTGGAATCGAACTCCAGCTGTGATGCACAAGCACGAACCACTGTGCCACCAACTAAATAAAACAGTGTATGTGACCGCAATACTTTTCACTTGTAAAAAATTATAAATAAAGAATCCAAAATACAAACATGAATGATAACAGTAGGCCCTGTCGACTGCCCTGTCTGAGCCCAGAGAAACAGAGGTGATCCTGTCTGTGAGGATGTATAATTAAAGGGGAGTGTCTGCATGGGGGTCTGTTATTGTGGCTTTTGTCTGTGCAGCTGAGGACGCGTGCGGCAACGCGTTTCTGCGGTGGGGCGTGGCTTGTTTTGCTCCTGTCTTTATCACGGCTTATGACCGGCCCTGGTCTTTGTCTGGGCTTAGGACCGGCCCTGAACCTGGTCTTTGTTCACTCGGGCCAGAACCACGCCGCGTGTCTACCGCTGGTGCCGCCATGTTTGAGCGGCTGCCGCACCTGAAGCACGTGCCGACACAAAGGCGCATGCACCATCTGCTGCACGCGGTCACACCGTGGCCATGTTGGCGATGAGCGCATCATGAGGCCGCCCTAGCTCCAGCCGCGTCAGCCCCTGCACCCCCTGCACCCGGGGCCCGGGGTCTGAAGTCTGTGCCTCACTGCTCCTCCCTCCGTCTCCCACTCTCCGCCGCCTGCACCGCGCGGCAGAGAGCGGCAGAGGCAGCAGGAGCGGCTGGAGGGGGAGGAGTCTGCAGTGTTGTTCTTGACGCTGTGGGCGGGGTCTGTGTTCCTCGCGGGGGGAGGAGGTGCAGGAGGCGGTGGCGCGCTCCGCTCAGACTCCACTCGTGTCTTTGTCTTGTATCTGCCTTTGTGAGCCATGCCGAGCCTGCTGCTTCTAGCAGGGATCATGGAGAAAAACGGGGGATTCTCCGGGGATGTGGGCTCTGCCTTCGGGAGCGAAGGGCTGCTGTCTGCGCCTGATGAAGATGAGGAGGAGACCCGCGCGCTGAGGGTCGCTCTGGGACAGCTGTCTCTGCTGGGGCTGGGGGAAGGAGAGGACGTGTCTGTGCAGGACCGGAGCAACAACAACAACAAACAGCAGCAGCACAAGGCCCCAGCTCCGGGAGACCTGTACGAGCCTCCAGGAGGAGAGGGCAAGGCGCGCGGCTGCAACATCACCGAGTGTGTCCCGGTGCCCAGCTCCGAGCATGTGGCTGAAATCGTGGGGAGACAAGGTACCGTCCCGTGTGTCCCACTCTGTCCCACACTGCGGCGGACACGTGCGCCACTTTCACTATGTTTCTTTGTTGTGGCGCGAGGAGCCTCCACAGACGCACACTGCCCCCTTTCCTTTGTGTCTGAGCGCGCGAGACACAGCACCGCACCCCCAGTGGCCCGGGCTGCTGTGCCCGCGTGGAGGCTCTGAGGGGGCTCTGAGGGGGGGGTCCTGTGGTCTACGGGGTACGGGACAGACGCTCCTGGGTCTCTCTCCTCCAGACAAAGAACCGCGTGGCTCTTTGTTCCAGCACAGTGTACAGTAGTGCAGTAGGACAGAGCTCCTCCCGTGTGTGTGTGTGTGCGTGTGTATGCCTGTGTGTGTACGGGGAGGGGGTCTTGTCCTCGCGGTCAGCCTGGACAGTGTGCGTGAGGACAGACCCAGAGGTGAGCAGAGGTGTCAGGATGCGGGATGTGGGGAGGGGCGCATCAGGACAGTACAGACACAAAGCCTGGCGTGTGTAGCGTAGCACGTGGAGCACCAGATTGCATGTGTGTGTCCCGGTCTCTGGTTCTGTCCAGGTCCCAGGTCCCGATCTTTTCACGGTCACAGTAATGCTGAGAGCTGTAGTGTGGATTGTTGTTGTTGGTGGTACACACCCACCTCAGCCTCAGTTCAGTCCTCCGGATACACCCTGAGTGACTGTAGAACCAGCATCAGAACCCCTGTGAGTCCACAGCCTGTGAGTCTAGAACCTGGGGTTCGGGTTTGGGGCTGCTGCTGGTCTGAGGGGAGCATGTGGAGATGGTTGCTGAGGGAAGTGATAGAAAAGTGGAACAACGTCTGTAGATTGTAGCGGTGACCCGGACTGTAATATTATGATACAGACACTGTGTGTTATGGTTATGTAGATTTATGTGTGTATGTATGTCTCTATATGTGTCTATGTTTGTGTACACATGTGTATATCTCTGTATGTCTTGAATAACTGAGGAGCATGGCGCTGCCACGCCCACTGCTTGGGCCACATATGTTCTCCTGAACTGGGCTCTGTTAACTCTGTTTATGTAAACATAATGCATACATGTACGCATTCTGTGTACATGTATGCATGCACACCTACAACACAAGGGCCACGCCCACAGCTCGGGCCCATGCTTCTTAACACTGTGACCTGTGTGTTACCTGTGTGTTTGTGTGCGCAGGCTGCAAGATCAAAGCGCTGCGCGCCAAGACCAACACATACATCAAGACGCCGGTGCGCGGGGAGGAGCCAGTCTTCTTGATCACTGGCCGTAAGGAGGACGTGTCTCTGGCGCGACGTGAGATCATCTCTGCAGCTGAGCACTTCTCCATGCTGCGAGCCTCTCGTAACAAACTGGGGCTGAGCTTCAGCGGCTCCCCGCCCACGCCGCTGCCTGGCCAGACCACCATCCAGGTACGCGTGCCCTACAGGGTGGTGGGGCTGGTGGTGGGCCCCAAAGGCTCCACCATCAAACGCATCCAGCAGCAGACCTGCACCTACATCGTCACACCCTCCCGTGACCGTGACCCAGTCTTTGAGATCACCGGGTCGCCCAGCAATGCGGAACGCGCTCGCGAAGAGATTGAGGCACACATTGCCTTCAGGACGGGAGGCCTCCACGACCACAACAACGAGAACGACTGCCTGGGCTCGTCAGGGGGCAGCCCCAGCAGCGGGGGCCTGGAGAGCCGCTTGCAGCAGGTTTGGAGCACTCAGCGCAAACCTCTGAGCTACAGGCAGAACTTCTGTGAGTCTGGAGACGCCGCCTTCACCAAGAACAGCTTCAGCTCTGGGGAAAAGTCCTGCTCCTACTTTGAGACGGACTCCAGCTGGGACTCGGACTACAAACAGGCCTTCTACACACAGCAGCGCTCCAAGAGCCTGGGTGGACTGCCCCTGCCTCTCAGAATGTCCCCCAGCCTGGAGGCTCCGGCCATGGCCCCAAGCTCCGCACACGCGCAGGCGCGCCGGGCCCACAGCGAGCCTTCGGGAGGGGAGGGCTTCCCCGGTCGCCTACCCCTGCCCGACTCGCCCCCGGCCTCCATGAGGGAGTGCATGACCTGCTTCGAGAGCAAAGTCACAGCTGCCCTGGTGCCGTGCGGCCATAACCTGTTCTGTATGGAGTGTGCCATCCGCATCTGTGAGCTGAAGAGCCCCGAGTGTCCCGTGTGCCACAGCGGCGTGACCCAGGCCATCCGGATATTCTCCTAACAACTCTCGTATTTACCACCTCATCCTCATTCTTTATTAGTCCACAATATACGGCTTTTCTTTTGTACTTGAACATTCAAAGTGGTGTCTAATTTAGAAAGGCACAATTTGTTTTACAAACCCACGGAACTTTGTTTTTTCTTAAACAGTATATACTATATATTTTATAAGACACTTTCTTTTCTAAAAAGCATAGCTCTTTGGTTTGTTTTGGCTGCTTTGTTTTTTATCTGAAGTATTTTGTAGGCAGATGTGAGCTGCAGACAGAGTCCACATGACGACGTAAGAAAGACCCGTGTCTTTATGCACCTTACTCCGAAGACTCTAAAGTTCCCCGAGGCTCTAAAGTTAGTTAGTAAAGCTCGCTCTAGTGGCAGCCTGTGCAATTACACTAGTCAAAGCACTTCCTGCGCACTGCATCATGTGATCAGATCTCTGAGGCACAGGGAGGGGCCTTAGCGGAGTCCTGCCCCGATTCTCTTAAATGACTTTGCACGTTTCAAGGTGCAACCAATATTCTGAAGTACTTTTGTTTCCTGCCATAAGCCCTGTTTCCAGCCCGGCTTGGCCCTACTCTACTCAGCTCTAATCTGCCTGGCTGGGTTTCCATTATGCGTTGGTATCTGGTACCGTATCCTAGCAACCTACTCACAACAGCCATTCTGTGATAAACATAGCTCCCAGCAGCACTCAATGGTAGTTAGAACACTTTAGCACCAGCTTGGCCTGGATTGACCAAATTTGGGCCGAGCAGAGTAGAATAGGGCCAAGTCAGGCTGGTGGAAACAAGGCTGAAGTGTTAATAAGTGGTGCCAGAGTAGTGGCGTTCACGGTAGCATCGTTGGCCTTCTCGCGTTGCCCTGAGATCCTTTTATAAACTAAAGAATGTGAATGGAACAGTCTGAGCTGAAATTGGAAAGACTGACTAAATCAATGCTTATTTTTTCAGAATCTTAAGTGAAGCACCTTACTCCCATGAGTCTGAAACCAAACGACACTGAGGACTGTGGTCCGCAGTGAGACGCACATGAGGATTTCCTGTCCGCACTTGGCCTTGCGTCAGGAGCGTCATTCAACCTGTTTAATCTCACACTTAACCTATACTATATCCATATACCAGACATACTGTAGTAACCAGTGTGCGGGCCCCTATAAATGTGACACGAGCCATATGCTTAGCTTCAACCATAGCCACCGCTAGCATTAGCAGACATACTGACGACGCAAGAGGAACCGCAGGTCTGAACTCTGCTGTGTGCTCTGCGCTCCCCATAAGCATATTCAGTAGTGTGGGGTAAGAGGGGGAGGGGCTACAGGAGGGAAAAGGGTTACGGGGGTGGGGGATCTTTGCCCGATTTGGCGCTTTGTCCATGTATGTTTTAAGCTCTACTTCAAGGGCAAAGAAAAAATACAGGCAATTTAAAAGCAGTTCTTAAAAGTGTATTAGCAGAAGTATATGAACAACGGTAACCAATCGGGCAACAGCAACGGGGGGAGGGTGTGTGGGGGGGCGGGCTGGAGCAGTGCTTCTCAAACTCCAAAAACATCAAATCTACAATTTATATGATCTTTTTCAAAATATTGGAATTGAATGAATACATCAAAATGTTGTGTAAAGCTTGCACAGTTTGAGAAACACTGGCCTAGAGAAGGGAAATGGGGTGGGAGGGGCTATCTTACAATAAACTTACAGTAATACGCTATTTCTACTAGGAGTAAAGACGGCAACAGTCTAAGGCTACGCTCACACTGCACTCAAAACCCAAAACGAGTACTTATTGAACATTACTTTTATTTCGGAGGTGATTCTGAATTTTGCTCGATATAATGGATCGTTTAACTTCTTTCAAGATATTTCTGAACACATGGTTTCTCACTTCAAGCACAAACTATCATTCGGCTCATGTGTCGCTAACAGGAATGAGTCGGCGCAAATTAGTTTTAGGCATAACAACTTGGCTAGCTCGATATTAGCTCACTGTTAGCTAGCTCCATATTAGCTTTCTTTTAGCTCACCTTTATAATCTGATGTACCAGGTCCGTATTTAATTTTTTTTTGCTTTTTCCCATTTGGCCTAAATGTGAAATGTTATTGGAGTAGAGTGACGTGTGAAACAAGCAGAATAACGATTTAAATTATTATAGGTACGTAAAGTGGTTCCTCATTCTGATTCTGTGGGGCTTCATATTCTGATAAACCACACCATGTTGGATTTAGATCTGAATCTACTCGAAGCACAGAGTTGAGAAGATCAGCACGGTGCCCGAGTGGTGAGCTTCTCGGGAGAGGGTCCTGGGTTCAGTTCTACCTCTAGACCAGACCGCTCTCTGTGGAGTTTGCATATTCTCCTTGTGTATGTGAAGGTTTCCTCAAGGTGCTCCGGTTTCCCCTACCACTAAAGACATGCTATACTTCCCTTCTCTCTGGGGCCAGGACTCAGAGAGTGCGACGTGCCTGGTGAAATGAAGGACAATAAAGAACGTTATTTGGAGAAATTCACACTATTTGAACTATTTGGAGGAAACAGCTCTGTGTTAGGATTCGTCATAGTGTAACAAGTTTATATTAGCCTGAATGGAGCTAAAAACCACTGTAGGTCCGGGACTGATAAAGAACAATGTTGGAACATGGATATTTTAACGATTGATTGAAATGCAGTCGTCCAGCAGCAGAAATAAATCCATCCACACAAACCCATAAGTGCATATATCTAAACATTTATACAGACGGCGGCACGGTGGCGGAGTGGATAGCACTCTCGCCTCTCAGCAAGAAGGTCCTGGGTTCGAATCCCGGTCGGACCAGGGCCTTTCTGAGTGGAGTTTGCATGTTCTCCCCGTGTCTGCGTAGGTTTCCCCTACCACTAAAAATATGTACAATAGATCTGGCATGCGCCTCCTGTACTGGCGCCGCTCCCATCTCTGTGTGGAGTGAGAGACAAATGCCCAAAATAAAATAATAACAATTGTAAACCGCTTTGAGACTCAGATCTGCAGTGAAAAGGCGGTATATAAATAAAGATGACTACTAAAGCTTACTACAGACGTTTTACAGATTTGGAAATGCAAGCAGTGTGGACGTAGCCTCAAAAAAACTAAGGTCTTTTGTGTTCCGGTTTTTTGCCTTTTTCGTATGAGCGACGGGAAATCCTTGTCTTAAGCAATCCGCCTCCGGACAATGAGCTGAATGTAAGCGCGCCGCGAGCTAGCCGTCCCCGCAGTGACTTTTGAGTTCTTCCACCTTTTGAACAATAAGCGTGTTGTACGGTCTCAGAGCTATTTTGCTAACATGGTTTATTGTTTCATAAAAGCAGGAAATAGTATCTGGATATTATTTATAAGAAGTACGAAATTTAGCAACATATTTATGATATTTGTTTTTTAATTGAAATGACGAGTTAATATATTTCTAATGAGGAGGAAATCAAGTTTTATGAAGTACCAAGAAGAAGACATTTTTTTATTTAGAGAAGAGTTGAATTCATATGCTAGAGGCTTTCATTCAGCAAACGAGGGAATATTGCAGAAAATCTATTTTTAGAATTTTGGTATTTTTTTGTCGAGATTTTGTGCCTCATTTTGGATTTTTTGCAGACGCACCCGGGGCCACCATTTTAGAATAATATTAATACTATAAACGCATTTCATTCCTGTATTTCCGGGTCCGCGCCTCACGCCCTCGCCTCATTGGCTGACTGAGGGCGGGGGGCGGGGCCTCTGTAGTGTGCATGTGTGTGGGCGGGGCCTGTGTTCCCGCCAATTCAAGAGGGCATCTGCTCTGGAACCGCTGCTCTGATCAGACGCAAGTGACAGATGTGATCAAAGTTTTTGTCATTTAAGAATATAATAACTTTAAAAGTATAATTACAATTGTGTCTAAACCTTTGCTCTCATTTTGACAAGATTTAAATGAAATAAAAAACATTGGAATAGGTTTTCTTTAAAGCTGAGGTATGTAACTTTTCAAACTACGGTACTAGAGAGATAAAACTAGTTCCTGACTCCTTCACACCTTTTCACATGTACGTGTCTTTGGCATCCCATAAGATCAGCTTTTTCAGACAGAATTGTGATACAGGTGGGACCAGCCTCCCTCAGCCAATCAGCTCTCTGCCCAAAGAGTCAAATAGTGACTCACAGGTCTCTTTCTGAAACAAAAGATAACATTTTCTAATCGAATGAAGACAGCATGTTATGGTCTGGTCTTCCCATTCAACAAACTGCATGTGTTACTGAAACACAAGTTAAGTACCCTAGCTTTAAAACGCATTGAAATCCAGGATAAACAGTGAAACACTGTCGCCTGGTGGTCGCTGATGGTTCCGGAGCAGAAGGCCGGTCCCTGGTCTCATCTGACTCGGGTGTAACGTTGTGGAAAATGTGATTTCTTCAGCTGGTTTTCGGCGTATGTTTTGAAGTACCGACAGGAGGGACTTTGCTCTAGTTGTACCTGATGTATGTTCTGCTTTTATTTGACGTGTACTGTACGTGTTTCTATTAAAACAGAACACAGCACTTAATCTGTGGAGCCGTTATTTCTCAACTAAACAGAAGCATGGACTGTATACAGATGGGACGATGCTTACCTGCTAGCTCAGGGAAGTGCTAATGGTCTACAAGTTTTGTTTCTACTCGAGCTCCGTAGCCATTTGTGTCCCACCCACCATTTTGGGCTTAGAAAATCGACGGTTTAGTGCCGTCTGTGATCCTGGTGTCCATATTGTGATATTGTCTTTGTAAAACCAGATATGAGCCCAAACAACTGACCAATCGAGGTCTAATTCGCAGGGAAACGCCTGCCCTGTTACGGCCGTTGGAATAAATGCCCAAATAAGGACATTGGCTCCAGCTAGCCTTTGTTCAACTTGGCCTCTTCCGCGTTAAGGCTTACACTATGATGACGTCACACTTGGTCAGTCCACTCCTAATATATCTTCTATCAGCAGACGACAGAATGATGACAGGTTGTAAGGCTGTAACATGTTTCCAGAGATGTCAGAAAGACTGCTCTTAAAAAAAAGGATTATTTTTGGCCATCTCATATTATGAGACTATTGACTAATATAAATATGTTCTGTAGAAAGTATAGGGTTAGACAAGTATGACACGTAAAAGAAAACTCCCTGCTGCCACCAGAGGGAAGAGGAGAAAGTGAAATGACCAAAACGAAATTACTGGGAAATACTTTAGTATGATGTCATAGTGGTACAATGACATCATACTACAGGACAGACAGCTTTTAGACAGAAGTCACATTTTTGTGCTAGAGGTTCCACATATTAAAAAATTTAGTGAATATTGCTTGCGTTTAGTTGTATTGAGCCACACACATTTGACTTATTAAAAACTACTACAGCGGCTTCTGTGGGTGATTGCAAATATCCCAGTGTGATTGTGAATGAGGCGAAACAGTCCGTTAGCATCTTTAATCTGGACTCAACACACAAACAGGAAAAATACACATTCAACAGCAACAAAACACAATTTACAAAAACTGTGATTTTCATTTTGTTCAAGAGAAAAAAACTGAATATTCACCACAAAACACGTCAAAATCAAAATGAAAGTACAAATATTACACATTTTTGAACAATATAATAATGAGACTGTTGTCATTTCATGTTTTAGAATGTGGACTAATATCGTCAGTAGAAAATATATGTATGAAGTATGAAGAGTAAAAAAATGCTTTATGCCTGTTACTCCCTACACTGCCACCAGAGGGAGCTACAATTATAGACATATGAGTGTAAAGAACCTCATTTCATCTGAGAAATTACCAAAACCAATCTATGGGGAATACTTCTGATTTAAAAGGCCCAAAGGTGCTGTGAGGATGATGTCATAGTGGCACAGTGACATCATACTAAGTGATGCAGCGTTTATAAGGAGCTCCAAAAACACATGCTTGTGAAAACTAGTGATAGAAGCAAACTGTTTTAGAGCCAGGAACTAGTGACAGGGATTGAATTACATAGTAATCATTTTGTGGATTGAAAGTTAAATTAGCTTTTAAAAAAAATTAAAAAGGTGGTAAAATGAAAGTTGAGGCATTATATTTTAGTACAACAGCAGCAGCAGAAACACAGTAGTATTGTATAGAAATCTCCGTTATCCAGCAATGATGGTTAAACTCTCCCTTAAAACAGTTTTTTAAAAGTCTCTTAAAAAAGTGCTGGTTAAAAGGTTATAAACATCAGTGTAACAGACAGTTGCCAGTGAGATAAATATTTTACATCAGTAACTTCAAAAGCGTTGGTTTCATGAGAAAATATGTTGGAAGAGTTGCCCTCCGTTATATTAGAAAATAATAAATTAGTTCCACCGTGAAGAAAGGTCTCCACCTCAATTTGGGGGGGAAGAAAAATTTGAGAACCCCTGTTTTACCAGGAGCACTGAATTCTATTTCAGTAGGAGCCAAAACAAAGAAATGTTTAAAAAGATAAATGTCCAAATGTTTTCCCAGATCATTATTAGATTCACCAGAAAGAGATCAGAGAGAGACCAGAAACAGACCAGAGAGGGACCAGAGAGGGACCAGAGAGATCAGAGCTTTCAAGGAGACCAGAGAGAGACCAGAAACAGACCAGAGAGGGACCAGAGAGAGACCAGAGAGGGACCAGAGAGAGACCAGAAACAGACCAGAGAGAGACCAGAAACAGACCAGAGAGGGACCAGAGAGAGACCAGAAACAGACCAGAGAGGGACCAGAGAGAGACCAGAGAGAGACCAGAAGCAGACCAGAGAGAGACCAGAAACAGACCAGAGAGGGACCAGAGAGAGACCAGAGAGAGACCAGAGAGAGACCAGAGAGAGACCAGAGAGAGACCAGAGGGCAGAGAGAGACCAGAAACAGACCAGAGAGAGACCAGAAACAGACCAGAGAGGGACCAGAGAGAGACCAGAGAGAGACCAGAGAGAGACCAGAGAGAGACCAGAGAGAGACCAGAGAGTGACCAGAGAGAGACCAGAAACAGACCAGAGAGAGACCAGAAACAGACCAGAGAGGGACCAGAGAGAGACCAGAGAGAGACCAGAGAGAGACCAGAGAGAGACCAGAGGGCAGAGAGAGACCAGAAACAGACCAGAGAGAGACCAGAAACAGACCAGAGAGAGACCAGAAACAGACCAGAGAGGGACCAGAGAGAGACCAGAAACAGACCAGAGAGGGACCAGAGAGGGACCAGAGAGACACCAGAAACAGACCAGAGAGGGACCAGAGAGGGACCAGAGAGATCAGAGCTTTCAAGGAGACCAGAGAGAGAGACCAGAGGGGCACATTCTCCTGTCTAAAAGTGCTTCCTATTGACCAACATCGTGCATATGTTTTTGAATATTGTCCGACACCTTCATGAGGAAATAATGAGACCATAGTTGATATGTGCTGACAAAGAAGATGTGGAAGTCTGTTTCCTGTGGATTGTTCCAGGAGTTAGAGAAATTAGCTAGACTAAAATCTGACTTTTGACAGTTACCATAGTTACCAGGAAAGATGTTTCAGCCGCGCTCCACCAAAATGTGAAACTAAAGGCTCTTTGGAATGTGCTGATGTCCCATGAACACAAACTTTTAGTGACACTGTCTAAAATCTTGGCATTTCGTCAAACCTACACCTAACCCCAACCTTAACCCCAACTCTTAATCATGAAATCACAAAAAGCAACAGCAACAAAATGATAATATTCCCCATTGCCCAAGACAAAATACCAAGATTTTCATTCCATACTAGTTCTCCGGCCATCAGTTATAATCTACAGTGCTTTACACAGTTGTAATGCACCACAATAACCACAAGGGAACCTGTATAAACCTGGGCTTTGTTTTCATTGCTGAAGCTTGACGTCCACCTGCTGCAGTCTGGTCTGGATCAGTCACTGGTCTGTGAGCAGGTCTTGGACTGGTCTTGGTGTGGTCTCAGTGCTGGCAGCAGGTCTTGGTCTGGCTCTGAGTGGGTTCCACGGTGATGGGGACCACGTTTGAAGCCGGAGTAAAGTCATCATTTCGTCCGGACATCTGCCTCTGTGACACAGTGTGGAAGATATCTGCAATAGACACACAAAAAAACACCATTCAAAGACTTTCAGAGGCAGCAGTCTGAGCAAACCTCACCTGACACCTAACATCAGCCGACACAGGAACAAGTACAAGAAGGAGCACCGGCTCTACTCCAAGCTTCTCCTGTGTGACTGAGCTCCTCACTCTAAAGGTAGCACCAGTCATTCTGCTCGTTCGTCTTGTCCTCCTTCTACAAAGCTCCTCAAAGGTGAAGGTGGGAACGCAGACTGCACCATGAAACCAGAGCTCTGACTGCAGACACTGCTCCCTCCTCACCACAACAGTCCAATACAGCGGCCGCATCACTCCATCCTTCAGAAACCAGGGCCTCTGCACATGTCAGTCCCTATCACTACTAATGGCAATAATTAATAATAACAATATTGCGGCTTTATATAGCGCTTGACACATTCTTTCACTCCATACATGGTGGTGATAAACTACTACTGTAGCCACAGCTGCCGTGGGACAGAAGTAAGGCAACCAGTATGTGCCATCGGTCCCTCCCACCACCACCAACCATTCACACACACACCAGACTCTTTCTATTGTGGGTGTTTTGCTCAAGGACAATAGTTTGACACTTTACAGCCGGAGCCGCCCCACTGTGGCACCTGGTGTTCCCAAAGGTCTCCCATCACAATACTAACCTGGCCCTGCCCTGCTTAGCTTCAGAGGTCTGACAGGATCAGGCTTTCACCTGCAGGCATTTTCAGGCATTTGAGATTTATGCTGGTATAATTTGGAACAGTCTTCCTTCCTCTTCATCCTTTTTTATAATGTACTGTGAAAGTTTTTCATTTTAATGCCTTGTGAATGAACTGTGCTATACATATAAACTTGCCTTGCTGCTCTAAACAGGGTGCACTCTGCCAGAAGTGGAAAGTTCAGACTCGCATCCTGTGGGGGACGCTGCTGCGCCATTATACACTGTCATTCAGTCTTTGTGGTTTCAGGGAGTTTATAATCTGTGACATGATGATAGATAATAAAGGTCTTATACAGAAATACTGCTAATTTCCTGTGTTTAGTTTGTATTTTAAAAAGTCACACAACCAAAACACTATATTCGTAGAAAAACAGAACAAAAATAGAACAAAACCGCATCTATTCTCACTACTCCCTCATGTGCTGTTTGTGGCGCCCTCTGCCGGCCACTCACGGTAAAGCATCTACATCTCGTTCCTCCCAGAACTGCCCTTTCGTCTCGGACTCACAATACAATACAATACAATTTATTCTTGTATAGCCCTAGGTCACAACAGAAGTCATCTCAGAGGACTTAACAAAACCATTGAAATCACCAACACAGGTCAGAGAATCAACAGTTAAAACACATGAAGAATATAAAGCACACACAGAAGAAAATGTCCATACATGTTGTAGAATGCTAAAGTAAACTCACACAATTACTAAGGTACTAGAACTCCCAGAGCATACGATTTTTTTTTTTACCTCGCTTTTAGTAAGTGTTAAAACTTGTGAATATAAACATGGAATGCAGAAATAAACAGTTTATTGAAATCCTACAATATGCTAACTGGTAGCAAGTAAACATGATGTTGCTATGGTAACTAGTACTGGCTCTACTCTGGGAGGTAAAGGGAGAACTACGCTCAGTTCAAAAGCAGAAGAACATTTCAGAAAAATATTGACATAGAAATAAACTACATATAGAGACAGAAATAGTCACAAAGTTATGAATTCCACAAATGTAATTACTCTTTTAAAAATAAAACAAATTGCTCTGGGAGTTCCAGTGAAAAACCTGAGTATGAACCTGTGAGGACGGTCTGGAAGGCCAGCTCCACGTTGGACGAGTCCAGGGCCGACGTCTCCAGGAAACACAAGCCGTTCGCCTCTGGGAAACACAGCACATGGGTCAGAACTAAACTGATCTGGGTTCAGCGCTCATCAGTATAGTATGCAACAATATTGTTAAACATTACAGGCAGTACGGGCCAGAGAACTGTAGAGCAGTATAATCCACATGTATGAGTTTGTCTTTATGGTCTCTGTGGCTGCTGTGGTCAGACACCAGACTATGGGCTGCGTGAGGCGGAGAGACGTGTGCAAGTGCAGCCGTTATGTGAGATGTCAGTGAAAACAGTGATTTACAGACATTGCATATCCCGTGTGAATGCACTGCAAGATCTCAGACGTCCTCCGTGATTTTCACAAATTACCAGGGGTCCACAGGTTAAACTAAGCAGCTAACAGACCAGAGCCACAGGGACTGGAGCGCACAGATGTCTGGGGAAACTGAGACCCTGTAGTTTAGGCCTCTGGTAACCAATTTCCTCTAATTATAAGTGGCATCAGAATGTGCACAGAGATCAATCTAACTCTGAAGGCAGATGGTAAATACAGACTCTGGTTTAGCTTTTGTCTGAGTTGGATCTGTTTCACAGTAGAATCAGCAGTGACCGATCGCAGACACAGGGAGAACATGCACCGACGGATGAGTCCGTGTTGCTCTGGTTTTCATCTCGACTTTGTGTGAATTACTGTGAACTCATGATGAACTCATGTCGAGTTATTTTGAAGATGTGAATGAACCTTCTGGACCAGACGATTAGGGCGATACACAGAGGTATTTGTGTATCGCCCTAATTCACAACAGCCGTTGTCTGAGAGGACTTGTCGATTTGCCAACACAGATCAGAGAATCAAACAGTTCAAACAGAGGAGACACAATAATAACAAACACATTGGAGCCATTGGTTCAAAGGGAGCAGGATGACCACTGTCCAGAAATGTTAATAAATGTTGTTAAATGAATGAACATGTACAGATCACGGGCCTGGTCTGCACAGGCGCAGTACCGTGGTCTGACCACTAGAGGGTTGTAATCGCGTTATACCTGAGAAGCCGCGGGCCTGGTCGGTGGGCACGGCGCGCAGGTGCCGCAGGTCGCTCTTGTTGCCCACTAACATGATGCTGATGTTGGAGTCTGCATGGTCCTGCAGCTCCTTCAGCCAGCGCTGTGCGTTCTCATATGTCAGTTGCTTCGCAATGTCATAGACCAGCAGCGCCCCCACTGCCCCGCGGTAGTAACTGCAACACAATCAAATCATATTCAGGCAGGACTCTGGAGCGCAGCTTCAGCAACAGACTGATCCACACAGAACACTGCAGAACACTGCTGACCCTGGACACCAGTCTCTGGTCATGTTCCTAGTCCTGGTCATGGTCATGGTCCTGTCTCTGACCAGGGTCTGGGTCCTGGTCTGGGTCTTTGATCTGGTCCTGGATCTGGTCCTGGATCTGGTCTTGGATCTCGTCATGGATCTCGTCTTGGATCTCGTCTTGGATCTCGTCATGGATCTCGTCTTGGATCTCGTCTTGGATCTCGTCATGGATCTCGTCTTGGTCCTGGTCTGGGTCTTGGTCCTGGTCTGGGTCTTGGTCCTGGTGGGTCCATAGCCCCATACTCACGCAGAGGTGATGGCCCGGTATCGCTCCTGTCCCGCCGTGTCCCAGATCTGGGCCTTGACGGTCTTGCCTTCCACCTGGAGGCTGCGTGTGGCAAACTCCACCCCGATCGTGCTCTTACTCTCCAGGTTAAACTCGTTCCGGGTGAAACGAGACAAAAGATTACTCTTACCCACGCCCGAGTCTCCGATCAGCACCACTGAACACACACAAATCACACACACACACACACACACACACACACACACAAGTCACAAACACAGATATACACACACGTTTCAACAGGAATAGTGATGTTTATAACTCATAATACTTGTAAATCATGTTTTTGATAAACACTAATTAAACACTTCACACATAACATGCACATCAAACACTTTATTCACTAATCTAACCACCTAAACTCATGACTGCTGAAGTGACAGAGACCAGAGAGAGACCAGAGAGAGAGACCAGAGAGAGAGACCAGAGAGGGAGACCAGAGAGGGAGACCAGAGAGGGAGACCAGAGAGAGATGAGAGACCAGAGAGGGAGACCAGAGAGGGGGACCAGAGAGGGAGACCAGAGAGGGAGACCAGAGAGGGAGACCAGAGAGGGAGACCAGAGAGAGATGAGAGATCAGAGAGAGAGACCAGAGAGGGAGACCAGAGAGGGGGACCAGAGAGGGAGACCAGAGAGAGATGAGAGACCAGAGAGAGAGACCAGAGAGAGAGACCAGAGAGGGAGACCAGAGAGGGAGACCAGAGAGGGAGACCAGAGAGAGATGAGAGACCAGAGAGAGAGACCAGAGAGGGAGACCAGAGAGGGGGACCAGAGAGGGAGACCAGAGAGGGAGACCAGAGAGGGAGACCAGAGAGGGAGACCAGAGAGGGAGACCAGAGAGGGGGACCAGAGAGGGAGACCAGAGAGGGAGACCAGAGAGAGATGAGAGACCAGAGAGAGAGACCAGAGAGAGACCAGAGAGGGGGACCAGAGAGGGAGACCAGAGAGGGAGACCAGAGAGGGAGACCAGAGAGGGAGACCAGAGAGGGGGACCAGAGAGGGAGACCAGAGAGGGAGACCAGAGAGGGAGACCAGAGAGGGAGACCAGAGAGGGGGACCAGAGAGGGAGACCAGAGAGAGATGAGAGACCAGAGAGAGAGACCAGAGAGGGAGACCAGAGAGAGACGAGAGACCAGAGATATCCAACCTGTTGGTTGGATACCCCACCAACGTCATATAACCACTAGTACAACATAACAGTTTATCTTGCTCTGGTCTCTCTCTGTCTGGTCTCTCTCTCTCTCTCTGTTCTCTCTCTCTCTCTCTGTTCTCTCTCTCTCTGTTCTCTCTCTTTCTCTGGTCTCTCTCTCTCTCTGGTCTCTCTCTCTCTCTGGTCTCTCTCTCTCTGGTCTCTCTCTCTCTCTGGTCTCTCTCTCTCTCTGGTCTCTCTCTCTCTCTGGTCTCTCTCTCTCTGGTCTCTCACTTCTGCAGTCAAGAGTTCAGGTGGTTAGAAATATGTATAAAGTCTGAGTTTTACAGGCTTAAAACAAACAGCTGCTCCTGAGAGAATGTCACTTATTGCAGGTTATTTTTATAAAGCAAACCCCGCAATAAACCAGGGCCCTTTTTATGAAATCATAGTTATATTGAAATATATGGAATCCACCGTCCCCTCTATCTCAACATGTAATCGTATCGGCAGGTTCTGAAAGACACCCCTGACCCAGCCCTGAGTATGACGTCATCGGATAAAGATGTAAACACCTGAAAACATAGATTTTTGACAGAGGGGGCGGGGGAACGTGTTTGTGCCAGGCTAAACACAGCCGCATGTCCGTGGCTGATGAGAAAAAGTGTTATGACAGGGTTATAGAGCAATATGTAGAAGGAATAATGTTATTTCATTTAAAACACCATAAACAGCTGGTCACCATAGTGTAATATTTGGATATATACATTTCTCACATTCTTAAATCTTGTTTGGTCCCCCTGGTACCTGTAATAATACAAATCCACGCCATCCATTCACCGTTTTATAGACCCTCAATTTGAAATAAAGCTGAGGTACATAAAACCACAAACACACAAGCCCAGAGAATGACCATAAAGAGACCAGACAGAGAGAGACCAGCAAGAGAGAGACCAGAGAGAGAGAGACCAGACCGAACCCAGAGAGAGACCATAATAAAATGCATGTCACTAGTCCCTGGCTCTAAATGAGTTTGATCAGCTTCTTCCGACAAAAAAGTGAAAAAGAGAGGACCACCCTCACTCAGCCAATCAGGTCACAACCCCAAGAGTCAAATAGTGACTCACAGGGATCTTTTTCACACAAAAGACAACATAAGTTCTAATAATATATAGACCGTATGTTTTGGTACACAACATTATACTTTTCTTTTCTGTTGTGTTATTTATGAAGCAGAAAAGTTACGTACCCCAGCTTTAACATGAGAGCACAGTGCGTCTCACCCCTCCCCCCCGTCCCCCGTGCACCTGCCTCGCGCTCACTCACCCTTGAACAGGTAGTCGTACTCCTCCTCACGGGCCGCCATGGTGCCTCCTCTTCGTCAGATCAGCCCAGGACAGTTCCACACGCTCCCGGGGACATCAGAGTCTCACGGCCGCGTAACACAACTCCCACAGCGGGCACACAGGTTCTACAAGTCCCGGGACACTAGCGCTCCTCGCTCCGCTGATGTGACCGCTTCTGACGCCCGCCTTCTGCATTGTTCCTACTGGTCAATAGCAGCGCGACACCTGTCCCAGAGCGCGCTCCCATTGGCTGCAGAGGCTGTCTGTCGTGACGTCATGAGCGGAGAGCGACAGGTGATGTGGCGCTGCGCTTCTGCGTTCCTTTGTGGTTCATCAGAGCTCAGTGTCATTACACAAGGATTGGCAGAAGTAGACAATGTGAATACCAGTGTTGGGCAAGTTACTTCAAAAACAAAATACATTATACATTACTGTTATTGTTCAAAGTAATGTCACACTCATATGCTGTCAATACTACAATGTCACTGTCTCTGAATTGTAAAGCATTACGCTATACCACAGCATCACTTATAAGTTACTTTCGCCAAATATGTGTATATATATATATATATAATAATATATATATATATACACACACACACACAAAATTTAGTTTATTATATTATTGCATTAGGTTGATATGCTTCTTTTGGTTTTGCACTTAAAGTGCACCTGATATGTTCCACGTCTCCAACTAACTCTAAATAATGAGCGTCTGTCCATCTGTAAAATGTACTATTGTCTTCCTCTGCTTTAGACATCTTCTTCCAGAAAAGAACACACTTCTAAGTGTGTGACCCGTGTGACCCTGACCCTATGGGACTACAGATGGAAATTAGCCTTTGGCTATAATCTGGCATGTTTACATTCATGTTTTTAATGTCTGTTCATTGACATGCACTGTCCCATTCAAAAAAAAAAAAAAAAAAAAATAAAAAAAATAAATAAGCTGCTACTATTGGTGCTGATTTGTTCTCCAATATAATGATCTCGCGGTGGCAAAGTATAAAAACAAAACATTTTAATTTCAGGTTAAATTGCAACATAATTCAGGTTACTGACCTTTGTCCCGAGTAAAATATTACCCAGGGTTTTTTCGCTTTTACATTACTGTGTAACAGCCAAAAGTAATACATAACTTTTGTAACACCTTACTTCCAACACTGCTTTTGGGTAAGAGTGTTAGCCCAGCAAGAGAGAGACAGGCCACAGAGAGACCAGAGAGAGCCCGAGAGACCAGTGAGAGAGAGAGACCAGAATACATTCTTACATTGTGCTCCAAAGAAAAAAAGGATATAAAATCACGATCTATTAGTCCATTTTCTCTGATGCATGAAGTCATTATTGAAGAAAACACTGTCCATGATTCACAAACTCGTTTTATTGTTACATAGAAAACACACGTCATTAGTATTTACACACAGGCCTCAGTTATAAACAAAGTGCTCACGACGCCGCCACCTGCGTCAGCGGCTCCTCCAGGTACTGCACCAGCGCCTCCGCCTGGACACACACGGAACAGCACACAACCAGTCAAGACAGGACAACAACAAAGGGAGAGAGAGAGAGAGAGAGTGGAGACAGAGAGCATCGAGAGAGAGCAGAGTGAGTGGAGACAGAGAGCAGAGAGAGTTGAGACAGAGAGCATAGAGACAGAGAGTATAGAGAATATAGAGTGGAGATAGAGAGAAAAGAGAGAGAGAGCATACTGAGTGGAGAAAGAGAGAGAGAGCAGAGAGAGTGGAGACAGCATTGAGAGAGAGAGAGAGAGAGAGAGCAGAGAGAGTAGAGACAGCGAGAAGAGGGAGCAGAGAGAGAGAGAAGACAGAGAGTATGTAGAGAGAGAGCAGAGAGATGAAGCCAAGCCACGTTAAGACACGTTTCTGTCATCACGTCACATGATTTGGGTTCATAAAGTTTCTCTAAAGACCAAGTTATTCTAAAAGACTACGATGGACCTAGCCTGGCCATGGACCCTCATGAACTAAATCCTACAATGACGTCGTGAAGCTTTCTTGTTCAGGCTCTTTGAATGTTTCCAAGTCTGTCTCATTCAGTCCAGTTACAGTAGAAACTCGCCTGAACTGAAATTGCACCAATATATTTTCAGACTTTTTATAATGGCACTAAACCAACAGTCAGGAACCGGCAGGTCAGGATCAGCAGATCTCCACTGGACCGGAGGAGTCACACGAGTGCAGTGCCACAGACAACTACAGTATTTCAACTTAGATACAGAAGAGGGCGCTCCGGGAGAGTCCCTGCCACTTAGGGTTTTAAAGAAGCGCTAATCACTTGTTAGGTGTGGCATAGAGGACTTTTTTATTTTTTGTATTGTGTTGTGTCATTACTGCTAATATACAGAGATGGTGTCATAGTGTCAGAGATGGGGGTGGCAGCATCATTCTGTGGGGCTGCTTCTCTTCAGCACGGACTGGGAAGATTGTCCTGTATTTTGCTCCATCCATTTTTCCTTAAACATTGACAATGTTGAAGAAACTGGAGTCTAGAGCCTTTTTTTTGGATCAGCACAATCGGAACAGACCAATCAGAGTGCAGACCTAAACCCAAGTAGAAATCTGTACTATTCACAATTGCTCTCCATCTGATCAGACAGAGCGAGAGTTGTTTTGTAAAGAAGAATGGGCCTGAGAGTCAGACCCATGGATCTATAATAATATCTGAATTACTAGCTTATAGCTGTCCCACCCATGGGCACAGGGGGCGCCCATGACACTGCAGACTACATTCACGTGGGCTACCCAGAAAAAAGTCCCATAGAACTCAATGTAAAACAGCTGGACCTCAGCTGGATTTTTAGTGTCCCTTGTCATCCTTTTTTTCTTGTTAAATCCTTCAATTTTCTATAAATCCACTCTTTAATGCAAAAAAACTCTGCTCATGTGGCTCCTGCTCTAGCTCTGGCTCCAATTGACTTACAATGAAAAGTAAACTCTTCTATCTCAGTAACTGTTTGTGTCACACTATAGTGATGTCACACACCCAGATAAACACACCTTCATTCAAGTTCTCTGTATAATCTCACTGGTCATATATACTGTGGTCATATACACTGTGGTCATATATACTGTGGTCATATATACTGTGGTCAAATATACTGTGGTCACATACCCTGTGGTCATATATACTGTGGTCATATATACTGTGGTCAAATATACTGTGGTCACATACCCTGTGGTCATATATACTGTGGTCACATATACTGTGGTCACATATACTGTGGTCACATATACTGTGGTCACATACCCTGTGGTCATATACACTGTGGTCATATACACTGTGGTCACATATACTGTGGTCACATATACTGTGGTCACATACCCTGTGGTCATATACACTGTGGTCATATACACTGTGGTCATATATACTGTGGTCATATATACTGTGGTCATATACACTGTGGTCATATATACTGTGGTCATATACACTGTGGTCATATACACTGTGGTCATATATACACAGTGGTCATATACACTGTGGTCATATATACGCAGTGGTCATATACACTGTGGTCATATATACGCAGTGGTCATATACACTGTGGTCATATACACTGTGGTCATATATACTGTGGTCATATATACTGTGGTCATATATACTGTGGTCATATACACTGGTCATATATACTGTGGTCATATATACTGTGGTCATATATACTGTGGTCATATATACTGTGGTCATATACACTGTGGTCATATATACTGTGGTCATATATACACAGTGGTCATATACACTGGTCATATATACACAGTGGTCATATACACTGTGGTCATATATACTGTGGTCATATATACTGTGGTCATATACACTGTGGTCATATACACTGTGGTCATATATACTGTGGTCATATATACACAGTGGTCATATACACTGGTCATATATACACAGTGGTCATATACACTGTGGTCATATATACTGTGGTCATATATACTGTGGTCACATACCCTGTGGTCATATATACTGTGGTCAAATATACTGTGGTCACATACCCTGTGGTCATATACACTGTGGTCATATATACTGTGGTCATATATACTGTGGTCAAATATACTGTGGTCACATATACTGTGGTCACATATACTGTGGTCACATACCCTGTGGTCATATACACTGTGGTCATATATACTGTGGTCATATATACTGTGGTCATATACACTGTGGTCATATATACTGTGGTCATATATACACAGTGGTCATATACACTGTGGTCATATATACACAGTGGTCATATACACTGTGGTCATATATACTGTGGTCATATATACTGTGGTCATATACACTGTGGTCATATATACTGTGGTCATATACACTGTGGTCATATACACTGTGGTCATATATACTGTGGTCACATACCCTGTGGTCATATACACTGTGGTCATATACACTGTGGTCATATATACTGTGGTCATATATACTGTGGTCACATACCCTGTGGTCATATACACTGTGGTCATATACACTGTGGTCATATATACTGTACCTTTGCCTTGAGCATGCCAAAGCCCACCGTCTCTTTGGCATACATACACAGCAGCAGATTGGCCACCTGTGTGATGGCCACTCTGCCCTCCTGTGGACACAAGGGGAATAACACTCAACACGCTGTTCCAGTTTTCAAACAAACACTGTGATTCTATTTATCTATTCATTTAGCTTAAGTACGTAACTTTCAAACCACATGGAACTCATGAAAGAAATAAAATCCATCTCACTAGTTCCTGACTTGGTTAACCTGAGACACTATCAAATAATAATAATAATAATAATAATATAGATGATAATACAGTGCTTTTTTTGAAAACTCAAAGATTCTTCACAGCAGTATTCATTCACTCCCTACACGGTGGTGAATAACTAAGACTGTAGCCACAGCTGCCCTGGGGCACACCGACAGAAGTGAAGCAGCCTATCTGTATCATCAGCCCCTCTGACCACCACCAACCATTCACACTCATCAAACTCATTCTAATGTGGGTGAAGTGTCTTGCCTAAGGACACAAAAACAGTTTGGCACTTTACAGCCACAGCCGCCCCACTGAGATGTCGCTGCAGTACAGTGTTCATGGTTTTGCACTGGTCCAGACCAGAGCAGAGAGGATTCATCGTCCAAACCAAGCGGATCAGGCAAAAATCCACTGGACGAATGCTAACTTTTTGAAAAATGCTAATGAAGAATTCAGCATTTTACTTTGGACGAGAGCAGAGAAAATGGTCCGAAACAAGCTGCTACTCCACCTCTGCTGCTGTGACCGGAAGTGCTGTTGCTTTTTGTTATTACTATTGTTAGATTTTTAGAATGATCAATTATTTTTGTTTGTTTGTGTGGATGGATATGTTTTGGCTGCTTCTGGACACCTGCATTTCTCCTACGGGAATCAATAAAGTATCTTTCTATCAATCTATCTGTGGCATCTGGAGTTCCCACAGGTCTTCCATCTCAGCATTAACCAGGCCATGCCATGCTTAGCTTCAGAGTGTAACTAATAAATATAATGAGTATTTTGATAATTGATATAATTACAAGTATTTTGCGAGTCACCATGTGTTACACTTCTTAGTTAATCAAAAAGTACTCTAGTTCCAGCCTCACCATACAGTCCATGAGGATGAACTGCAGCTTGTCCTCGTTGAAGGCCTGGTGCCCGTTCCGGTCGTACGCGGACCAGATGTTGCTGGCGATGGCGGCGGTGACCCGGGCGTCTGTGTCTCCGTACCCAGAGTAGGCCAGCAGCGAACCCTCACCGTTCAACAGACTGAGGAGAGAGAGCACAGAGGGGTGAGGAGGGGGAGGAAGAGGAGGGTGAGGAGGCTCCATATATAAGCGTTCAAGGGTGTCCCACTTATACATATGCAATGTCACTAGTTCAGAATGAATGAGTGAGCAGGAAACCCTCAACGTTCAACAGACTGAGGAGAGAGAGCAGAGGCGTGAGGATGGGGAGAAGGGTGAGGATGAGGAGGGTGAAGCCTGAAACAATTTAATAATATCTGTAAAATCCATGTCTCTAGTCCCTGGCTCTAGAACCGCTTGCGTCCATCACTAGTTTTCACCTACAGGTACAGGCAAGACAGAAAAGTGACAAGAAAACCACCCTCACTCAGCCTTCAGCCCAAAGAGTCAAATAGTGACTCACAAGCCTCTTTACATCGTGTTTTCTAATAAGATGAAGACAGCATGTTGTGGCCTGATTCGTTCACAATGTTTTCTCAAATAAAAGGCAGGTACCGCAGCAGTAAACCGAAACAACCCTGGATCAAGCAAGCAGACGCAGAAGGCCAGTTTGTGAAGGAACAAACCCATCAAAACAATACACGTACACGATTATAGCTGAGACTTTAGTGAGGAAATACACGGTTTTAAACAATAGCCTATACAGACAAACACATTGCATCACTGCCACCTCACTTCTACCACTGTGGAACATGAAATAAACTCGATATAGTGACGTGTCGATGCTTCTGCCCTCCGTGAATAGATAAAATATGTTATAGAAGAGTCCTCACAGTGTGCTCTGGACGCCGTTGGTGTTGGCCTGGCTCAGAACTTGAGTTAAAGCTTTGGGACGCAACATTTCTGCACAAAAACACGGAGACAGAGGCTGCAGCAAGAGTCAGCTGATCAGCACGTGACCGCTGCGCTGTTTACTTCCTTTTCCGGGTGTGGGAGCGGCGTGGTGACGTCACGGGACACGGAACAACTCAATAAACGGTAAACAGACAAAATATAATTCAACTTGAACTAAATCGTAACGAGTAGATGATTAATAACAATATAAAAAATTAAATATAATAAAAAACGGCAAAAAAATAAATAAAGCAAAATATTAAATAACAAAACAAATATGAAATAGTAAACAACGATATAAAAAAGAATATAAAAACCTTTAAAAAAAGAAAAAACATGCTAAAGTTAATCCCAGGCCAGCTGAGTGACAAAACAGATGCCCAGTCACCTCAACTGGCTCCTCTGGGTGTGGAGAAGCTCATCTCACAATCTCAATTTATTCCTGTACAGCCCTAAATTCCAGCAGTAGTCATCTCGGAGGACTTTACACAAACAGTGTAAACAGTTTAAAACACAAGGAATAGAACAGAAAACACATTGGTATTGGTCCTATCTCTAAGGGAGAGCCCAGCCATTCTGGGAAATATAGAAACATAAAAAAAACACTAAAAAATAATGTATATAATTTTTTTATAATTTGCCAAATAAAATACAAAAATTGGCAATCACATTGGACTACAGCAAGTCCCTCATTCACATAGAGGTATATAAACATTTTCCAACATATTCTTTACAAGGACAACTTTGTAAATGTTTTAATAACACTGCATCGGTTTTATGTAGCGCTTTATTTGGACACTCAAAGACGCTTCACATGTCATTATTCTTTCACTCCATACACAGTGGTGATGAACTACTACTGTAGCCTCAGCTGCCCTGGGGCACACTGACAGAAGCGAGGCAACCAGTATGTGCCATCGGTCCCTCCGACCACCACCAACCATTCATACACTCACCAGACTCATTCTAGTCAATGTGGGTGAAGTGTCTTGTCTAAGGACACAACAGCAGTTTGGCACTTTACAGCCGCAGCCGCCCCACTGTGGCTGGTGTTCCCAGAGGTTAAGTGTCTTGCCAAGGACACGACAGCAGACAGTGGGAGTCGATGGTGAAAGTCGGGCTCGAACCCACGAACCTTCTGGCTCAAAGGCCAATGCTCTACCAACTGAGCTACTGCTGCCCTTCCTCTGACCCACATGTGAGCAGCAGCCTAGAAAACTGTTTGCTTGTCTTGTGTCCAGCCTTTCCCTGCGTTTAAAGTCCTGTAGAATGGAACAAAAGCCCGTGTTTAAAAAGGAGCATGTGACGAATGATAAGACTGAATATTTGCACCTGTCTGAGTTTGCCCATTCTTCCACCACTACTTCACGACACAAGAAAGACGTCTGATTTAACTCTCTAAAACAGTAGGGCCCAGAGGATAATATTTCACTGGTTTGAAGACAGGAAGAAACTTAAATAATTTGGTAAGTCATTTTTACCACAGAGTTCTGGAAATGCATCAGCAACATTTCAAACTAGTAATTTAACCAGTGTTCTTTAAGAAGACCGCTCTAAACTTGTTACAAACTTCTGACGCTAGAATTTTGGTTGTTTAATGCATTTTTCTCATGCTGTCTGGCTCAGAGAATAGACTTTAAAACAGCTCTGCTTGTTACAAGTCTCTCCATGGCCTCGCACCAAAATATATTAGTGACATGTTAGTCCCATATGAACCAGCCCGGACTCTGAGGAGCACAGGGACTGGACTCCTGTTAGTGCCCAGAGTCAGAACTAAACATGGGGAGGCTGCTTTTCAGATTCATGCTGCTAAAATCTGGAACAATCTTCCTGAAGATGTGAGACAGGCCTCCTCTCTGACAATGTTTAAAACCAGGTTAAAAACGGTGCTGTTTAGCTGTGCTACAACTGAGGGATTTTATATTTTTATCTTTCGTTTTAATGTTCTGTTATTATTTATGATTTTAATGCTATCTTGTTCAGCACTTTGAGTTGCCTTGTGTATGAATTGTGCTATACAAATAAACTTGCCTTGCCTTGCCTTGCCTTCCATTAACCCAGTGATTCCCAAACTTTTTTCTGCTGGGCCCACACCCACTCCCCCCAAAAAGGACCTACAGTATATATACTTTTCTTGTTTTCAGAATCCATTGCAGTCTATTTCACAAAGTATAATTACTCAGCCCTAACTGCAGATTGTATAGCGCAAAACCTAAACCTTATTATTATTTTTTAAATCTTTTTTAAAATTGTGAACTGCCATAAACTGAAGATTATAATACGTGTAATACTATTCAAGCACCTTAACTGTGTAATTATAATCAGTGTAACAGGTTTCTTTTTTTTATATTCAACATTTTCGATTTTTTTGTTGCAAAAATGGGTTTTAAAACATGACCAACTCCCAGAGAGGGAAACAGAAATAAAAACCTAAAGGATTGTGCACAAAAATGGCTCCTTTAATCCTCACATCTTTTAAGTGACTGATGTGGGCCTGCCTCATGCTGCAGATCTTGTCAAATCTGGGTTGTACTTTTTTGTCCCGCGCCTACACTGTAATACCCCTGCACCCCAATCACAATTTGAAGCTGATTATTTATGCCCTTGTTTCTTCTTGTTAAGGTGATTGTAACAGTGTCTGAACAAGGAGGTGTCTCGTCTGCAGTTGGGAGAACACAGAGACGAGCTTCTCAAATCTCTTCATTGGCTGCTAGTGTCCCACAGGATCAACTCTAATGTTCTGGTCCTGACGTTGTATGGCCAGGCTCCTTCTTATGGTCTCTCTCTGTGTTCTATGGTGTCAGTCAACTCCTTCAAAAGTCAACTTAAGATCTATTTATTTGTGCAGGGCTTTTAAGATTTTAGATTAAAAAACGTTTTGTGACCCTGGTCTGTGAATAGCGTAGGTAAGTTAGTAAGCTAGACTTATCTCTGGGCTTTATTCCAAGACCTCCCCAGACCTCATCCAGGACAAAGTGCTCTCTGGTTCTCCTCGACCTCCACTGAGATGCAGATGTGCGCGGCTGCAGTGCTGGGGGTAAGTCCTGTTTTTGTAACTTGTATAGCCTAAAAAAACCCGGGCCTCCTCGTCCTCTCACACTGAGGACGCTTTTAGTGTTAACCTTCAATAAGGATAACCATGTGTTTCATTGGAAAATGTTCATAAAGTAGTTCTGTGATTAATTCAGCCGAATTCAAACATGGTTTAAAATCTTTTACTGTAGCCATATGTGCCCTGGTGGAGAAAACTGACTGTACGAGGCTGACGATCGACTCTGTGAACATTCATACGCACACACACAACACACACCCACTAACACACGTATGCAGCCTGGCCTTCTCTCATCTGCAGCCTGGCCCATTGTCTTTGGTCCCCTCCCTCTCTCTCTCTCTCTCTCTCTTTTATAAGTTTCGTTTCCGTCTGTGAAACTGAGTCAGTCGGCTTTCTACAGTGGTGTGTGAGCAGTGATGGCGCAGGCAGCAGAGCAGGACTTCTTGTGTCCTGTGTGTTTGGATTTACTGCAGACTCCAGTCTCTCTTTCTTGTGGACACAGCTACTGCCTGAAGTGTATCCAGAAGCACTGGGACACAGAGGAGGAGCAGCGGCTCTACACCTGTCCTGAGTGTCGTGTGAGCTTCAGCCCCAGACCTGCGCTGAGTAAGAACATCTTGTTAGCAGCTCTACTGGAGCAGAGGAGCACAGCGCCCCCTGCTGACCTCTGTGCTGGACCTCAAGATGTGTCGTGTGATGTTTGCTCAGAGAGAAAGTTGAAGGCGGTCCAGTCCTGTCTGCAGTGTGTGGCATCCTACTGTGAGCGCCACCTACAGCCTCATTATGACTCTGCAGCGCTTCACAAACACCAGCTGGTGGCACCAACGCACACTCTCCAGGAAAACACTTGTTCTGAGCACAACGAGCTAAAGAAAATGTTCTGTCGCACTGACGGACAGCTCCTGTGTGTGGTATGCTGCCTGGAGAAACACAAGGACCATGAAACTGTGTCCTCAGCCTCAGAGAGGGCCCAGAGGGAGGCTCAGCTGGGGGCCCAGAGATACGTGCTCGTCCAGGACGTCCAGCACAGAGACACAGAGCTGAGATCACTCAAACAGCAGGAGCACGACATCAGGACCTCTGCCCGCACAGCACTGCAGCTCAGCAGGGACAGCTTCAGAGACATCTTCCTTCTCCTGGAGACAAGAGCCAAAGAAGTAGAGCAGGAGATCCAGTCTGAAGAGGAGAGAGGACTGAGCCGAGTCCAAGAAATCCAAGATCAAGTGAAGCAGGAGGTGATTGAGCTGAAGAAGAGCCTCTGTGACCTGGACACACTGTCCCTCACCGAAGACCACAACACCTTTCTAGAGCTTCACACTGCACTGGCCTCACACTCACAGGGGCCAGTCTCAGTCAGGGGCCACACAGAGGGGACAGTCCGAGTCCACACAGAGGGGCCAGTCTCATCCAGGGGCGCCTTTGAGGAAGTGACCCGAGCTGTGTCCGAGCTCAAGGAGAGACTGCAGCTCACTTTGGAGGAGGGACACAGAAACATCTCTCTGGCTCTGAGTCGAGTTCAGCTTTTACTGACAAAACCGAAGACCAGAAATGAGTTCTTAATGATGCCACAACCTCTGAGAGACGCAACAGACGCAAACTCACAAAAGAAAAAGTCCAAGAAGAGTCCATGCGGAAACGAGGCCCTGATCAAGACCCTAGTCCAAGATTTACCCAGGAGCAGAGAGGAGTTCTTACAATATTCAACAGACTTCACTCTGGACACAAACACAGCGTACAACAATTTGTCTCTGTCTGAGGGAAACAGAAGAGGAATTTATTTGAGTAAAAAGCATAATTATTCAGATCATCAGGACAGATTCAGTATGTGGCCTCAGGTTCTTAGCAGAGAGAGCGTGACGGGCCGTTGTTACTGGGAGGTGGAGTGGAGCGGGAAGTGGATTTGTATTGCAGTTTCATACAGAGATGTTCAGAGGAAAGGACCCTCTGTTGAATGTAGATTTGGACACAATGATAAGTCCTGGGCCTTAGATTGTCACAAAACCAATCCTTCATTTGTGTTTAACTCAGACAGGTCCCACGTCTCAGGTCCGGTCGGTTCCCGAATCGGGGTTTTCCTGGACTACAGTGCAGGGGTTTTATCCTTTTACAACGTCTCTGAAAACATGAGTTTGATCCACAGAGAAGAGACCACCTTCACTCAGCCACTTCACGCAGGAATCTGGTTTTACTATGGTGACACCAGAAACACTGCACATTTCCCTAAACTCAAATAACAGCATTGTTCTTCACAGTTTAAGACCAAAATTCAAGGATTCAACGCAGTAGGGTCAAAACCAGGTCACATTTTAACTTATGATCACTGATTTGTTGATCATATTAGGAACTTTTCAATAATTTGAACCAATCTCAGAAAGTCCAATATGAAATCACATGTGTTCACTGTCACTTTACTTTACTCATCTGTGCAATAATAATTTTAACAAGGGTGACAGTGGCTCAGTTGGTAGAGCATTGGCATTAGAGCCCACCACAAGACCTACTTCACGACTCCCACTGATGACTGCTGTTGTTGTGTCCTTGGGCAAGACACTTAACCCCACTTTGCCTAAAGCCCCCGCTGAAAGATCTCAGCTTCTGTGGACTCACCACCTGCAGGAGGATCAGTGAGGGGCTGGTGCTCTGTGTACTGGGTGCAGACTGCCACCCCCCTGATTGGATTAAAGGGAAGAAAATGGATGGATGGATATACAGTATTTATAGTTCTATATTACACTAAGTTAGAGATGTTATACTTACTTCCTTATCATGCTAAAGTCATAGATTTTAAACCTAATTCTTGCCCTTCATAATGCTAAAGTTGGAGATTTTATAGTTGCTTCATTATTATGCTTTGAGATTTTATTTTGTTTGACTGTCACAGAATGGTTTAAATTGGGTTTCAAAGGTGAAGGCTTTAATTCTACAATAAAAATATGTGATTGAACACATTTTGTGTCGCTTTTTTTTAAATCAAAAAACGAAAACGTTTTGAACAGAATATTCTAAAGCTCACGTTTTGACTCGGATTTTAAGGTTCAAATTACACCTGTGTTACAGACCTCACATTACACCTGTGTTACAGACCTTACATTACACCTGTGTTACAGACCTTACATTACACCTGTGTTACAGACCTTACATTACACCTGTGTTACAGACCTTACATTACACCTGTGTTACAGACCTTACATTACACCTGTGTTACAGACCTTACATTACACCTGTGTTACAGACCTTACATTATACCTAATTAGCTCTTACCATCAACATGTGAACACATTTGTTTGCACTTTCCCGCTCAAATAGCCTGTCTCAAATTGCTTTAATCGGCTTCTGCTACAATAAGACAAACTCTATAGTGATGTCAGCACCTGGTCCTAGTATACATTCTCCTGTTACAAACGGAGCACATACAATGTTTTATCACTTAGCTTCCACTTTACGAGAGGCACAGTATGTTTATTATAAGGTTAGCAGTTTGTATGGAATGTTGCAGTAAACTTATTGTTATAGTTTATATTATTGTCATTAAACTTGATCATCAGTAAAGTGTAAAGTAAAGTAAAGTGCAACGACATTAATGTAGCTGGTCCGAAAACACATGTCATTCAGCCAACTTCAGCTCTGTCACATGTGAATCAAAGGTGTTTTCATACTGCAGGGTATGAAACGGAGCATAAACACACATTCCCTCTCTCTGGTCTCTCCTTTGCTCTCGTGTCTCACCCTGCTCTTTGGTCACCCCCTGGTCTCTGTGGTGGGGGTGGCCTCCATGGTCATGTGTCCTTCCTGCACTCGGTCCGATCTTAACCTCTCAATGGTCTTTCCCATGGTCTCCCTCTGGTCTCTCTCTGGTCTCACCCTGGTCTCTGGTCTCTCCTTAAGTCTGATCTCACCCTGGTCGCTGTTCTCTCTCACTGGTCTTTCAATGGTCTTTCCTATGGTCTCTCTCTGGTCTCTCCTTAGGTCCTTCAGATCGTGGTGGGGGTGGTCTGCCTGGTCCTGGGTCCTTCACGCACTCACACCAGACCCGGAGACGTGGCCTCTCTCTGGGCTGCGTATTGGCTCGGAGCTGTGGTGAGTCTGAAACTGGACACACTCGAGCTACTTTCTCAGGAGCTAAAGTGCAAAGTGAAATATCATGTACAATTACTTTTTAACTACAGTCCCCCTGTACTTATAGGAATTGAAAAATGGAGAAACATTGTTCACATGTTTAAGGAGTTGTACATTTGAACGATTTAATACTTGTAAATTGTTGTGTTGAAGTGTTGAAAATTAGCATGGTCTAAATAAATAAATACAAAAATAGATATTATTACAATTGCCATTTAAGAGTGTGTAACATGTGTAAAAGTGTGTAACAGTGTGTAATTGTTCAGTTCGCAGCAGCCGGAGTCTTCACCATCGTCTCTGGAAGCTGCCGCACTGTGTGTTTGGTGAGCATTGATTTTTTTGGATTTGTTTAATGACATTTGTGTGAAGTCCTGAAAGCACAAGCACTTTCTTCCACTCGTCGTTGTGGTCGTATGAAGCCATTTATTGTCACAACATTGAGTTGCTCTGGGGAGTTCATGCAAGGCAGCCCAGGAATGTACAGAGACTGGAGGATTTTAAACAAGAAGAATGGGCTGCTTTATCATCAGAGAGAGAGACTGTGAGACCAGAGAGAGACTGTGAGATCAGAGAGAGACTGTGAGACCAGAGAGAGACTGTGAGATCAGAGAGAGACTGTGAGACCAGAGAGAGACTGTGAGATCAGAGAGAGACTGTGAGATCAGAGAGAGACTGTGAGACCAGAGAGAGACTGTGAGATCAGAGAGAGACTGTGAGATCAGAGAGACCAGAGAAAGACCAGAGAGAGACCAGAGAGAAAGACCAGAGAGAGACACAAGAGAGACCAGAGAGAGACTAGAGAGAGACTAGAGAGAGACTAAAGAGAAAGACCAGAGAGAGACCAGAGAGAAAGACCAGAGAGAGACGCCAGAGAGACCAGAGAGAGACTAGAGAGGGACCAGAGAGAGAGAGAGACAGCAGAGACTGCAGGGTCAGAGAAGTGTATCAGCACCATTTTAAAAGAGAAAGGTCTATTTGATGATAACTGTTTAATTTCTAATCTCAAAATTATGGCAAAAAAATTGTGTAAACTGTAGATCCTGCTCTGACCTCAGAGCCGCTGCAGTGCCCTGGGGAACCTGCTGGGGGCGCTCTTCTCCATCACAGGTCTGGTGCTGTACTCCCTGGACCTGGCTCACGTGTCTCTGTCCTGGATGTGTAAAGGAGACAGCGCCCCCTGCATGACACTGGCTGCTATAGCACAGGTGGGTCTGGTGTTTGAGACCAGGACCAGATGTGGACCTGGGACAACAGTGGGAAAGGTCAGAGACTGGCGTGGACCATAGACAGTGTATCTGGACAGAGTCTGGTCTGTTCTCCACATAAAAACCGATGGACTTCCAGCTGTGGAGCTGGCCATGAGCTGCTGGCCCCTCCCTCTGGAAAACTCAAAATAATCAATGCTTACAGCTCTTCCTGCTGGATGCATCGGGTAGCGCATTTTCTCTCTCTGGTCTCTTTCTGGTCTCGCTTCGGGTCCCTCCTTCTGGTTTCTCTGATGTCTCCCTGTTCTTTCCAGTCTCTCTCTCTGGTCTCTCTTTTTGGATTTTCTGGTCTCTCTCTCAGGTCTCTCTTTTTGGATTTTCTGGTCTCAATCTCTGGTCTCTCTTTCTGGTTTCTATGGCCTCTTATGGTATCTCTTTCTGGTCTCTTCTCTTGGGTTTTCTCTGGTCTCTCTCTGATCTCTCTTCCTAGTTTCACTAGTCTCACTGGTCTCACTGGTCTCACTGGTCTCACTGGTCTCACTGGTCTCACTGGTCTCACTGGTCTCACTGGTCTCACTGGTCTCACTGGTCTCTCTCATTTCTCTCGTCTCCTTCTAGTCTCTGGTCCTGTGTACTTGTGCTATGACTTTAGAAGCCTCATTTTTAACGTCATTTCATTTTCAACCCCTTTGTCCATTTCTGGGTCGGGGGGGGGGGGGAGCTACCACCCAACGCTCATAGCACCAGTCCCTCGCTGACCCTCTGCAGGGGGTGAGTCCACAGGAAGATGGCTGCTCCGTCAATTGTGAAGCAGCCGTGATCTTTCAGCGGGGGGCTTCAGGCAATGTGGGGTTAAGTGTCTTGCCCAAGGACACAACGACAGCAGTCATCAGTGGGAGCAGTTGGAGTAGGTCCCATGGTGGGAATCGAACTCCAGACCTCCAGGCCCAAAGGCCAATGTTCTACCAACTGAGCTACTGTCGCCCCTCCTTTCATTTCCCCTGTGGTGAAATGCTGACACGGGGCCAAACAACACGGCAACCTTTCCCACTGCCGCCCCGGGTCGACACCGCCCTCACCGCATCCTCAGTCTGTAAAATGAGTCTTGAACCTTGGACCTTTTGTTTGGCAGAAAGTGCTGACCTGGGTAGACGTGTGTCTCCTGCTGCTGCTGCTGCTTCAGCTCTGTGTCAACATCAGTGCAGTGGTCCTGTCCCTCAGCCTCAGAGAGAAGGTACCAGTTGTCCAACAAGCACCATGTGTCAGGGGGCTTTCAGGTTCTGTGTTTAAAGCTGGGGTACCTAAGTTAGTAAATAAGTATGGTCTATTTCTGGTCTCTCTCTCTCTCTCCAGTTGATCTCTGGTCTCTCTCTCGCTCTAGCATCTCTGGTTTCAGGTCTCTCTCTGATCTCTCTGGTCCCTCTCTGGTCTCTCTCTGGTTTCTCTCTGGTCTCTCTCTGGTCCCTCTGGTCCCTTTCTGGTCTTTCCCTAGTCCCTCTCAGTTCCTTCTCTCTGATCTCTCTCTGGTCTCTCTGGTCTCTTTCTCTGGACTCTCTCTTGTCCTTTTCTGGTATCTATCTGGTCTCTCTCTGATCCTTCTTTCTAGTCTCTTTCTGGTCTCTCTTGTCCCTTTCTCTGGTCTCTCTCTGATGAAGACAGTATTAATATATTGTTTTTGCTCTGTCAGGTCTTTCTGAAGTATCCGGTCTGAGGAGACTGCAGCCAATCACTGAAGACCTTTTTATCTACTTTAAGGAACATATATATTGTGATTATTCATAGTTTTTATTATTTCAAACAACATATTCTACGATCCGTGGATCTGCAAAACCAGAGTTTTTAGGTCAAAAGCGGAAAGTGCCTCCCCCTCATTATCAATGGACAAACCCATCCCCCTGGCCCGTCTGTCTACATGCCTTTTTCCTATAGTTGTCACCTATAATTCAGTGGTCTCAAATACGAAAGTTATGGCCTCCTAGTGGACACCAAGCTTTAATGTCAGTGCGGCCCCCACTGTGCAAATATGACATGTTATGCAGCACAAAACCCACATCATTTATTTTACCATAAACATTTAAACATTTACGTATAATAAGCAATAATTCAAAGGAAACATTATTGAACCCAGTCTACAATACAAAGCCTCTTTCCATTTTGTGTCCAGTTTTGTTTCAATCCAAGCAGATGGACTCTGTCTGTGCATATAAATAAACATATCGATCTCACATTCAAGACATAATTTGGTCAAAATTCTTTTCATGATGATAAAATGATACAAACAAACTTCCGACAAACGTTTGCTTCTGGGTTTTTTCTTGTTTTTCTCTCTCTTTTTCAAGCCCAGGCGTTTACTTTCTCTACTGTTAACATTAAAGAATGAGAAGAAAATATCTGCGTGTGTATAGATCTGTTTGCTCCGATGTTATATATTTTGCACACAAACAAACACATGATAAACATAACCCTTAATGCGGCCGAGCTTCACCCAGACTCCACCTCATGCGGCCCGTGGATAAACTGGTCTCTAACCCTTCAGTTACGTCACATGGTATGTCATTCCCGGTTCTGCCACCAGGTGGGAGTGTTGCTCACATTTCCGTTACACATGTTTGTCCATATGTTTTGTACTTAATAAAAGATTGTACTTTCTAAAACCCTGAAGCCAAAGTAAACAGTCTACAGATGATTAAAAGTGTGATGTGTTTCGCCTGTGGACCAGTGACTTCCTCCTCGCTCCTGTTTCTCACGCTCTCCTCTGCTCCTCTGGGACGTCCCATCAGCAAAACATCCAGCTCCAGGAATGTGGGGAACTGTGCAGACTTAAAGCTGGGGTACCTAAATTTCAAGCCAAAACATTAAAACTGTATTAAAATCCATGTCACCAGTTCATGGATCTACACCAGTTGCATCTATCACTGGTTATTCACATCGTGTATTTTTGGTTTCATCTTTAGATCAGCCTTTTCAGAGAGAGAGAAAGAGAGAGAGAGAGAGAGAGGACCACCCTCACTCAGCCAATCATCTCTCAGCCCAAAGAGTCAAATAGTGACTCTCAGGGCTCTTTCTTTCACACAAGTTATTATGTTTTCTAATGAGATGAAGGCGGTGTGTTGTGGTCTGGTTTGTTGACATTTTATAGCTGGAAATATCACACACACTCTCTGGTCTCTCTCTCTCTCTCTCTCTCTCTCTCTCTCTCTCTCTCTCTCTCTCTCTCTCTCTCTCTGGTCTCTCTCTCTCTCTCTCTCTCTCTCTCTCTCTCTGGTCTCTCTCTCGCTCTCTCTCTCAGATCTCTCTCTCTCTCTCTGGTCTCTCTCTCGCTCTCTCTCTCAGGTCTCTCTCTCTCTCGCTCTCTCAGGTCTCTAGTTTCTTTCTGGCCTCTCTGGTCTCTCTCTGGTCTCTCTCTCTCTCTCTCTCTCTCTCTCTCTCTCTCTCACAGGTCTCTATTTTCTTTCTGGCCTCTCTCTGGTCTCTCTCTCTCTCTCTCTCTCAGGTCTCTATTTTCTTTCTGGCCTCTCTTTGGTCTCTCTCTCTCTCTCTCTCAGGTCTCTATTTTCTTTCTGGCCTCTCTCTGGTCTCTCTCTCTCTCTCTCTCTCTCTCAGGTTTCTATTTTCTTTCTGGCCACTCTCTGGTCTCTCTCTCTCTCTCTCTCTCTCTCTCTCTCTCTCTCTCTCTCTCTCTCTCTCTCTCTCTCAGGTCTCTATTTTCTTTCTGGCTTCTCTCTGGTCTCTCTCTCTCTCAGGTTTCTATTTTCTTTCTGGCCACTCTCTGGTCTCTCTCTCTCTCTCTCTCTCTCTCTCTCTCTCTCTCTCTCTCTCAGGTCTCTATTTTCTTTCTGGCTTCTCTCTGGTCTCTCTCTCTCAGGTCTCTAGTTTCTTTCTGGCCTCTCTCTGGTCTCTCTCTCTCTCAGGTCTCTATTTTCTTTATGGCTTCTCTCTGGTCTCTCTCTCTCAGGTCTCTAGTTTCTTTCTGGCCTCTCTCTGGTCTCTCTCTGGTCTCTCTCTCTCTCAGGTCTCTATTTTCTTTCTGGCTTCTCTCTGGTCTCTCTCTCTCTCAGGTCTCTATTTTCTTTCTGGCCTCTCACTGGTCTCTCTCTGGTCTTTCAGGGGTCTCTCTTTGCTATCTCTCTCTGGTCTCACTTTCTCTCTGGCCTCTGTGGTCTGTCTTTCTCTATGGTCTTTCTAGTTTCTTTCTTGCCTCTCTCTGGTCTCACTGGTCTCGCTCTGGTCTCTCTCTGGTCTCTCTTGTTTCTTTCTTGCTTCTCTGGTCTCACTGGTCTCTTTTTTTTTCTCTCTCTCTGGTCTCTCGCCAATCGGCTCTCAATCCAAAGAGTCAAATAGCACGTTGTCTAATTTGTCCAGTATTTTATAATATTTTATATCTGTATACATTCCACACTTTCTACATACAAACTATCTACTTACAAATCTTTCACATAAATGGTTAAACCCTTGAAATAGCAAGAAATGGAGTGGGAAGGGAAATGTTTAAACCCCCACCCCATGTACCATGTTATAATAAAACCTAACAGTCTATTTAAAGTCATTACTCTAATCGGACCATGATGTCTCCCCAGCTTTAAGTATCTTCCTTGTTTGGATCGTAGTGGTTCTCCTGGCGCCCCCTCTGCTGTCTGATTATCAAAGTGAAAGTGGTAGTTCGAACAGAATTTACAACTGGAGCTGGAGACTGATTATGTCAAAGTCTGCGTTTTGAGAGTAACCCACAAAACCTTAAGTAATCACAGTGTATTCATAAAGAGTTAGGATACAATAATGGCATGTGAATGGTCTTTGAGCGGGCAAAAAAGCGCTATATGAAACGAATGCATTATTATTTTTATTATTATTACAATGCTTCAGTTGCATGTACAGTTAGCTAGCTTGGCTAACAGCAGACAAAATATTAATTAACAATGTGTCTGATAGCCCAAAACCACAACAGTCGTTATCTCCAATGACTTTACAAAACTTGATTCACCAACACAGATCAGAGAATCAAACAGTTCAAACAAAAGAAAACACATTACTGTCCTTAGACCCTCCTGAATCTGTTCGGAGCCAAACCCAGTGGGAGAGAGTGAGAAATCTCGGGGAGGCCCACATTGAGGGAGGGATTTGTTCGCTCGGGTGGACGGGCTGTAGATCCAGGACTCAGGCTGCAGAACGAGAATTGCTTAGTATTCGTCCTAGAGCTGTGTTTTTGGGACCGGGCTCATTTTGGGTTCATTGTGACACTTGGACCAGAGCAGTGCCCAGGAGGAGTGAGGAGGGGCCTGCAGGTCGTGAAGGTCAAAGCAGATCGATGAGAAAGGCTTCAGATGGTTCTGTGATACTATCGATCCAAACACACACACACACACAGACACACACACACACCAGCCCCCTCCCCACACTCTCTGCATACTGATGAGAACAGTCATTAGAGCTGTGATATCATCAGAGATTAGATTATGAACCTCTCAAACAAAGAGAAGCACGGAATATTCTCCTGAACCCCTCACAGATCCACTCAGGCCGGGATATGTTTCAGGATCTTCGGAGCACAAACCAAACTGCTCCAGGTTCAGAGATGGACCTGACTCAGGACTGAGCTTTAGAGTGAAGAAGAGAAACAGTTCTAGCCTGGCCTTAGCCATCCGTACACTCCGCTCGATCATCATTTCACTGCATGTAACGTCTGGGTCTGGTCCCTGGGTTAGCGATTACAGTTGGTTGTATTTCGACCGACCATTCAGAGAGCGCGGAAGGAGAGTGTTGAAGTTAGTTGTGGGTGACGTCAAGAGTTTGCGTCGAACTGGAAGGTCGTAGTTTGGCAATGGCGAAAAATGCGACAGTAAAGTAATCTGCGTTTAGTTTAAGGCCAGGAAGGTGAGTGCTGCAGAGGGTACGAGTAGTAGCAGGCAAAAATAACAGGTGCTCTTCAAAAACGGGGCAATCTAAGCAGATTTAGAATGTCAAAAAGAGTAAAAAATAAGTCTGAGGCACTCTGTTATTGTGAAAAAATAAAATGGACTGCCTACGCGTTTCGACCAACAGCGGTCTTTGTCAGGAATTCATGCCCTGACGAAGACCGCTGTTGGTCGAAACGCGTAAAGTAATCTGGTCTGGTTCTATCAAGAAATTGAAGCCGGAGCAAGAGGAATGTTTAGCAAATGTAATCGCTAGAAAAAATTGTGGCGCTACTCCCCACGGGCTCTGTTAGCGGCAAAAGAGATGGCTAGGCTAAATGCTAAATGCTAACATTCGTCACGGTAAACTCAGATCCAATCGTTTCAATCTGCAAAAGGAGTTAACCCCTCCCACCTGTAAATGGAGCTCAATGGAGCGCCTCCAGACCTTAGTACGAAATGTAATTTGTACTATGGTGTGGTACGACCAGGCTAATACAGCTCAAACAATGATGAAAAAATAATGTTTGGATCAAGTTCTTTTCATCTTGCGTTGAGCACATTTGGACCAAAACAAGATACAGTATGATCCACGGGACAAACAGTGCAGTCCGTCTCAATCCAGGTGCAACTTTTTTCTCATTCGATCTTTCTTGTCTCTCTTGACAAACAAATGCTCTCAAATTAGGTAAAATTTTTCCTAACTCCAGCAATTTTTACTTTTCTCAGTTTTTGCTTGTTGATTAGAGTTGTGTTTGGTTTGGTACGCATGGAATACATCTTTATAGCAAACAATAGGAGGTAAATAAATATCACATGA